AAGATGTGTCAAATAGACACTAAGGGAAATTCATAGATTGCTGGAGACGGCCACTGTCAGCCTAGACATTGATCTAATCGATACTACGATAGTTTGGATATGCATTTCGTCATTTTCTTCTCTAGGAACGATCGTAGCTAGAATATTCGTGAACGATCATGCAGTCAAACTCTCTGACGTTTCTCAATGTATACTAAAACGAGTTCAAGATTAAAGGGTCTAAATGATCAGATAGAACGCTTCTGTATGTATTCGTGCTTGGGAATTCCCAGGGTTTTCCCCAAGAATGTGGATGTAGTGTGTCAGTGTTTACGTCATTTCAAGAACACGGTCTCGTCAAAAACGTATGAACGTCAAATTATATCGTTTATACAGTCAAGAACGTCAATTTCGCGGTCATGTGACCGACCTCTTGTCCAATGGAAGAGCCCTAGATCGTGTAAACTTAAAATACCACTGTCTGATAGTGATTCATAAACACATGTTCAAGATAGAGTCGGAATTGTAAATTGTTTCCAGCAGAGATTTCTTATGACCATGGAAAGGTGTTTATCGCTTCTATTTTAGCGTTTACTATGTGTGACCTGCTGATTGTGTGTCATCATGCCCCAAACACAGGTTGGCCATGTCTAGGCTCCATTATACACAAGAGGCAGTCATAAAGAAATGAGTGAGTGAGTTGGGTTTAACGCCTCTTTTACCAGTATTCGAGTTATATCACGGTGGGTCAGCTTGAAGTGGGAGGAAAGCCCGAAGTGATGCAGGTCTCAGATGTTTACGACTTCGGTGAAACCCACGAGCACGGGTATGGTGCTCACAAAACTAGAAAGATTATCGGGGCGAACCGGGATTCGAACCCACAATCATAGGTTTCTGACGTGCCCAAGGGACGCAACTCTGTACAGCGAATCGCGGCGCTTTAGACGACTGGGCCACCTGTGCCCTCGGTGATAGAGGATGTTGCTGGACATTCACATCCTCGATTCTCAAACATTTTATATCTTCATTCTATTAGGATAAAGACGCGACGCTATAAATAGCCATCCAATCAAATGGTACGCATGGGCGAGAGACATTCTGTGCTAAATATGCCTTTCACTCTCTCCATCATTCGAGAAGGATTTACACATCTCGATGAAACGTCAGCCAGTTAGATAATTAGACATCATGACTATCTATCTGTATGTATACTCATAGAAGAAGGGTAAGCATCGCTTACTCTGTGTTCCTACAGACAATCCAGTGATTGACATCATGAACATTGATCAACGCAATTGGGATACGATAACATGCATCAACCAAGTCACCGAGCCTGACCACCCGATCCATTCAGTTGCCTCTCATGACAAGTATCAGCTGTTGATGAGTAATTCTAACTCGGAATTCCGATAACATTTTTTGTTTGTTTATTTGTTTTTTATTCATGCGACATTGTAATACAGAAACGGGGGACCCCGTTTAGTTTTGGATTTTACTGTAAAAACTGAAATATAAGGAAGGTAAAGAGAACACAATGGACAGTCGACAGACGATAGGGAGATAGAAGGGTGGTGTGTGTGTGTGTTTGTGTGTGTGTGTGTGTGTGTGTGTGTGTGTGTGTGTGTGTGTGTGTGTGTGTGTGTGTGTGTGTGTGTGTGTGTGTGTGTTTGTTTGTTTGTTTGTTTGTGTGTGTGATGAATGCTTGATCAGTGTAATTTGTAATTTAGCTATCTATTTAAAGAAAATCAGTATCACTTTTTACTTGTTTTAGTCGCTAGAACAAGATCGATATTTAGCAGGTTGTCAGAGACGTGTCAGTTACCTAACAGAAACACTTACCTAACGGCAACAGAACGCTGGTGTAGTTAATCCTGTGAGATGAATGTCAAAACCCGTTTAAGGCATGTGGTCGATGCTAAAGAACATATTTACCTAAACCATCGGCACGTGCAGTGACACCTCTCAGAGTTCATTCAACCACAGTGGACTGACAAACATATGAAATATATGCCCCTGTTGAAAATTGCATATACCTAATTCCAATCGATCAATAAGTACTTATCAGCCCATTTATCGTCGGTGAATAATAACTGACTTTTTCATTTTGATACTTACTTTTCCTCGTGTATATTATAAAAAATATTTCTTTGTTCTGTGTTACTTATCGATCGACCGAACTCGTCAACGTCAACCAACCCCACCTCACAGGTATCGCGTGTTTTGACGGGGCAACAGTCCAAATGCTATCTGATGATGTTGCCACTTAGGCCATCCCAATTTTTTTTATGTGTTTCTCATCTCCAAGCTCAACCAGCAACAGAGCGGGCGACCGAAATAAAATATAAATAAATAAATAAATAAAATGTTTTTCACCGATTTCGGAACTTATTTTATGACACGTTAAAGAGTGTGAAACACTGGGCACCAGTCTTTAAATTACTTTATGACGTAGATCGAGACACTTTGCTTAGGAAACGAACTTTTAATAAAGCTGAAGATAGATCAAGCTGACCTTAGTTTTTTTTATGAATGTGCAATTGTAGTCGTATATTTTTAATCACGGGGCATAATTGGCCGCATCGGCGGGTAAAATTGAGATACGTACCTTTTTTATCATTTCACGTCGGAAGGAAAACTCAGAGAGGGGGTATCATAACGGTTCCTTACTACTCATGGAGCTGCCTGATTGGACGCCTGGACACGGTGACAGGTTGGCAGATGAAACATGAACAGTAAACTGTTGTAGAACTACTGTATGGTGCTCTTCATTGTGAAGACTCAAGGCGAGACATGTAGTATACCACAATCCACATTTTTTTCTTACCATCATCCAAGTCTATGTGCTTCTTATCCAAGTCTATGTGCTTCTCATCAAGGCAAAGGGCTTCTCATCCAAGTCAATGTGCTTCTCACCCAAGTCAATGTGCTTTTCATCTTGGCAATGTGCTTCTCATCCAGGCAATGTGCTTCTCACCCAGTCTATGTGCTTCTCATCCAGGCAATGGGCTTCTCATCCAGTCAATGTGCTTCTCACCCAGTCTATGTGCTTCTCACCCTGTCTATGTGCTTCTCACCAAGTCAATGTGCTTCTCACCCAGTCAATGTGCTTCTCACCCAGTCTATGTGCTTCTCATCCAGGCAATGGGCTTCTAATCCAGTCAATGTGCTTCTCACCCAGTCAATGTGCTTCTCATACAGTCTATGTGCTTCTCATCCAAGTCAGTGTGCTTCTCATCCAAGTCAATGTGCTTCTCACCCAGTCTATGTGCTTCTCACCCAGTCAATGTGCTTCTCACCCAGTCTATGTGCTTTTCGTCCTGGCAATGTGCTTCTCATCCGGTTAATGTGCTTCTCACCCAGTCTATGTGCTTCTCACCCAGTCAATGTGCTTCTCACCCAGTCTATGTGCTTCTCATCCAGGCAATGGGCTTCTCATCCAGGCAATGGGCTTCTCATCCAGTCAATGTGCTTTTCGTCCTGGCAATGTGCTTCTCATCCGGTTAATGTGCTTCTCACCCAGTCTATGTGCTTCTCATCCAGGCAATCTGCTTCTCTTCCAAGTCAATGTGCTTCCCATCCAAGTCAATGTGCTTTTCATCCTGGCAATGTGCTTCTCATCCGGTCAATGTGCTTCTCATCCAGTCTATGTGCTTCTCATCCAGGCAATCTGCTTCTCATCCAGACAATGTGCTTCTCATCCAAGTCAATGTGCTTCTCATCAAAGTCAATGTGCTTCTCACCCAAGTCAATGTGCTTCTCATCCGGTCAATGTGCTGCTCGTCCAGTCCATGTGCTTCTCATTCAGGCAACGTGCTTCTCATCCAGTCTATGTGCTTCTCATCTAGTCAATGTGCTTCTCATCCAGACAATGTGCTTCTGATCCAAGCCAATGTGCTTCTCATCCAGGCAACGTGCTTCTCATCCAGTCAATGTGCTTCTCATCCAGTCAATGTGCTTCTCATCTTGTCTATGTGCTTCTCATCCAAGTCAATGTGCTTCTCATCCAGTCTATGTGCTTCTCATCCAGTAAATGTGCTTCTCATCCAGTAAATGTGCTTCTCATCCAGGCAACGTGCTTCTCATCCAGTCAATGTGCTTCTCATCCAGTCTATGTGCTTCTCATCCAAGTCAATGTGCTTCTCATCTAGTCAATGTGCTTCTCATCCAAGTCAATGTGCTTCTCATCCAAGTCAATGTGCTTCTCATCCAAGTCAATGTGCTTCTCATCCAGTAAATGTGCTTCTCATCCAGTCAATGTGCTTCTCATCCAGTCTATGTGCTTCTTATTCAGGCAACGTGCTTCTCATCCAGTCAATGTGCTTCTCATACAGTCTATGTGCTTCTCATCCAGTCTATGTGCTTCTCATCCAGTAAATGTGCTTCTCCTCCAGTTCTCAACACTATCAATTACCTGATCTTTCCTCCAAGCGATGGTGTAGGACTACAATACACCCAACCCCGGTTCGTTAGAGTCCCACTAAACAAAATTGTCGTTTTAGCTTCAAAGCTAACTGTAATATTGCCACATTTATGAAAGGAAATTACTCAAATTTGAACTGAAAACATTTATTTTGTAATTTTTCCGCTGTTCACGAGGAAGGCTGTTTCATGTGTAGATGACCCCCTCCGTGATCTAGTGGAGACTCGGAAGATCGGGGTTCAATCCCCAGCCGCCATGCCAAAAGAGGTTAAAAGAAGGGATTTGTTGTGACGCTGCCTGACGTTTGGCATAAAAGGGATAAAACAAGGACTGGCCGGCTTGGAGTCAATATAGTGTGGTATGGGTGGGGTATCATTGGACACATTGTATGTCTGTGGTCTAGCACAATACACATGGACTAGTACAAGCAGACCAACAACACACTCACACACACACACACACACACACACACACACACACACACACACACACACACACACACACACACACTTACTCGCGCGCGTCGCTATACTCCCTATGAGCAATAATCTTGAACGCGACTTTAATTCCCATTTCATCTCACCTCGCGTATAGGTTATATGCATGAACGGGGTGACTGAGTTGAACAGGGTGAACTCCGATTCCAGCCTTGAATCTCTTGTTTTCAAAGTATTAAAGCTCAAAACAATTTATTTCAGCTTTGTAATCTCCAAATACAGTGAGGCGTTGGTGGCCAAGTGGTTAAAGTATTCGCCTGTCACGCTTTTGACCTTGGTGATATTCCCCACATGGGTACAATGTGTCAAACACATTTCTGGTGTCCCCCGCATATGTCATGATCATGAGGGGGGAAAGGTTGAACGTCATACGATGCGCGGATCCCTACACTAAGTTACTGATGGCTAGCTACAACCTGGTGGGAAGGTACAACACATTCAATCGTTGCCCAGTTTCGTGTTATCTCACACAAGCAACAGTCCAAATGCTATCTGATGCTGTCGTCACTCCTGCCTGTCCATTGGTCAATGAGATGCCAAAGTCAAGAGAGTCACACCACCAGATATTGAGTGATATAAACAGTTGGTGTGACAGCGAACCCCAACCAGTCTTTTCCAGATACAGGTTGGTATCATTACTTGTTGTCCACGTATTCTCATCGAAGTAAACTACCGGGCAAAAGAAATATACACCCATGTTTCATGGTGGCTAAAATGATACAAAAAAAGAAATGGTTATTCGATGGTGAAATATTTTTGGTGACAATTTTTCACCTTTTACGCGAAGTAACCTTTTGGTAATTTTTTGTTTAAGTTCAATTTTAAAGTGTATACATTCTTTTGCCAAGCAGTTTAGAAATTAAATAATCTATTATAGCTAGAATATTGCCGAGCGCTTTTAGATTATAGCCATAGACAGGATTCCAAGCATGTTGTCTTGGTGGGAAAATGTATGAACTCTGTATGAATAAGTTGCAGCACCTGGAACAATAGGCCAATCGTGTCATTGATCCAACACGCCAGCAATTCAAGTATATCTAGGCCCCAACTGATGCGGCTTAAAGCAACATTTACTCAAACTCACTCATTCATCTATCCACTTGTTTCACCTGTGATGGCACGTGGTCATGTGTCACAAATCAGTCACGTTGGGCGCGGTCACGTTGGACTCTTTTGGCAGCTCCGAGGAGCTTCTTGGGCTATTCTGCCCCACATTGAAACACATGTAGCACAGATTGTAGCTCCCAGATTGTCAGAAGGGCTGTGTTCCTGGTACTAAACCTAAGGCATCAAGAACAATGGGCAGTTGGACAACTTGGTACTTGGGATGCCAGCGTGACATTTCGAAAGCGAGGTCCGCATATTTGCCATGTTTTTCCTGAATCTTGTCAATCACATTGGTGTCAAAAAGGACAGAAAACTCAACAATACATATGATTTCATTGGATTTATCAAAAAGGACAAGATCAGGTTTGTTGGCCTGGATAGGTCTGAGGCTGTATACGGGCCAACTCCCCCCAAAAATTGTATTTATCATTTTCCATGACGCCCCCCACTTATTCCGGGTCGTACCATGGATGGAGATCTGTGCTTAAACCATAAGCATGGCAAGGACGGATATAAAATGATCAAGCCACTCCGCCATGTCGCTTAAGATACTGTATATGTGCCAAATCTGGGCATCCACTAACAATGTGTTGGACAGTCTCATTACATTCATTGCATCATCTACATTTCCTCGTACATTTTGATGCAAAATCACACTGTTTCGAGTGGTATGTGACTGGTCCTGAGCAGCAAACAGGAAGCCTTCTGTTTCACTTTTCTGGCCAGCCGACTTCATCCAAGCAAAGAACTCTGCAGGGTTGCAATCTTTTCAACTCACTGCACATAAACTAGAATTATTCCTCACTCAAATTTGAAAATACGTATTCATCCGCGTTTTAATTAATGAAGATGGCCGAAGAAGTGACGCGTTTTCTAAAAAAAACCTAATATTGTTGTGAAGCCTTTTAAAACAGTGATCGACAGGTTATATTGTTCACTGAAGTTAATATACTCTTGTCTGCACTTTTTCACATACCTCGTTGACATTTTATGAAATAGGTCTTTATACTGGAAAGTTCTGTTGCCGTAGGTCTTCGGTGCATTAGATCTTGCAGATAAATGCTTGACGTAAAATATTAATAAGACGGACAATGTGTTTGCCGAGTAGGGATTGAGGCATGTAAAATGTCTTTGGCAGTAACCTTTAAAAGTGTACGTGGCATTTGTCCACAAGTTCACAGTATAAGTGACATAGGTACACTGCTCATCGTTGTCAGCATATTGACCTGAATGCTAGCTGTGGTCCATTGAGACCCCATTGTCAAAAAGTTACGCTGTTTCATGTCGCTGAGGATACCTCCTCAAGATACTGTTTCATATTCAGGAATCAAGGCATATTTAGCATCAGTTATGGGTATGTGTTTTAATGTGATTTTGCTAGTATTGAGTTTTGTGGTTGATAACTATATTTAGAAAAGCGTCCTACACACTAACCACTCTTAATTCTTCTCTTTGGTCTGGTTGGCAGCTCTAAACCCTTGACGATTGGATGCCCAACAATGCAGTTGACGCCGCAGACAATGTACGTCGTTACCGTCGGCGTAATCGTCGTTTTCGTAATCGTCGCTTGGTACTACCGCCGCAACAAGCACAACCATCCAGAGTTGTATTACCTTGACTCGGACCTCCATCGACATATCATCGAAACCAAACCTGGATTTACCTCCCCTTACCGGCCGCCATTTTGGCTGCAGAACAACCATGTGCATACGTTCATTGCGGCTTTGATTCCTAAAGTGAAAATGTACTTCAAGAGGGAGTACATTAATCTGGATGATGATGGTGCTGTTGCCTTGGACTGGGCACAAGACCAGTTGGACTCCCTTACAGACACAAGTCCCATTCTCATTGTGTTGCCTAGTCTATCAGCGTGCGCGGACGATATGGCCGAACTCTGCAACACTGCGTCAAAGCGAGGTTACCGAGTTGTGGTATTCAACAAACGTGGGCACGGGGATTCCGTATTGGCGACACCTAAACTGCAAGGGTTTGGCGATGCAAAGGATATGAGACGCTGTGTGGAGTATTTACGTGACAAGTATCCCGAAGCAAAAATTGTCGCTGCAGGCTCCAGTGCAGGATCGTGCCTTTTGATGTCCTATTTGAGTGAATACGGAGCGGATTGTCTCCTAGCAACAGGGGTATGTATTTGCCCTGGATATGACGCTTTGGACGTGTTTACAAAGCCAATGAATAATGTTTATGAGTTTATTCTACTTTCGTCCTTAAAGAAAATTCTGAAGAAACATGCCAAGATGCTGTCGCAATTAATTGACATGAGAGCGGCGACCAGAGCGACAAATTTTAGAGACTTTGATAAGCAAGTCTACTGCAAATTCTACGGGTATGAGGACAGCCTTGAGTACTGGAAGTGTCAGAATCCAATGAGAAATATTTTAAATATATCGGTTCCCGTCATGTGTATAACCAGCTTGGATGATCCAATATTTATGGCCAAATATATACCATTCAACATGTTTCGAGAGACTTCCGATTGGTTGCTAGTGACAACAAACAAGGGAGGTCACTGTGGTTTCATTGAAGAATCGACACTGAAACCGTGGTCTGATAGATTAGCTCTTGATTACGTCGATGCTGTGCTAGAATTCCAAGGAGCTCCGAAATAGATTAATGTCCAAGTTTCGTTTAATCTTTGACAACAGATTGCCAACTATTTAGAGGGGTATGTGCTCTGTGGTCTGGTGACCAGTTGTACCCTTGCCTAGATGTTGTAGTGAGTGCATTGTTAAGCTGGGACATTGACACTTTTGTTTTGTGGGTAACCAGAGACTCTTAGATTGAAATACATCCTACAAACTGAGTTAAAAGTGTGATGAGTAAATACATTAAACTTGTTTGATTGTTAGGCCCCTTTAAAACTAGTACTGGTACATGATTAAGTGTGATAGGGAAATGCCACACTAACTCTGCATAAACCAGTTGCATCAATTCACGTGTATAAGTTACTGTGGACATTCGCAGTTTCAGTATACCATGTATACTTAACAATAAAACTGAAAAGCCCCGTTTTGTCGTCATGATTTGTAGGATTTGTATGATTAGAGCGATAAAACCATTTCCATAATCAAAATAAATGTCTGTTTTAAGTCCATTGTACGTTTCCGATAATATCATTGACATGTGATAATGATTTTTTTGGGTTTGGTTTGGTTTGTTGTTTTACGCCGCATTCAGCAATATTCCAGCTAAATGACGGCGATCTGTAAATAATCGAGTCTGGACCAGACAATCCAGTGATTTACATCATGAACATCGATCCACGCAATTGGGATCGATGACATGCATCAACCAAGTCAGCGAGCCTGACCACCCGATCCCGTTAGTCGCCTTTTACGACAAGCATAGTCGCCTTTACGGCAAGCATGGGTTGCTGAAGACCTATTCTAACCCGGATCTTCACGGGTCACATGTGATAATGAAGAACTATAATAGTGAAGATACCAGGTGTTCGCGAAAAGGTGAGCGTATCCTGACCCTCCGGTCTCATCCGTCACAAACACATGCAAAGGCAAGTGAATTGTTCACATGAAAATACATGGGAACATATGGCACGTGTCAAAACGGGGAATTGCACCGGCCATGTATAATCACGCCTATGTCAAGAACCAGCGGTCGGCGTGTGTCAATGATTACAATAGTATTCTGAGGACACACCACGCCTCTCCGTCATGCAACGGGCAATCTATAACCACAAGTATCCAGGGCATAACTGAACTATGTCATCAAAGTTTAATTCCCGGTTCTGACATTTGTACCCACATTATCAACCACTGTTTTTTTTTCATGTTAGACTAAACTTACCATCCGAGCTTGAGGTAATGGTATCACGACCAATGACCTCGGTAGCTGTTCCAATGACAGCAATACCCCCTTGTTACGCATTTAACTACACGTTACTTCTACCCAGAGCCGTGCAGTAACACTCCATTATATACACCTTGGAAAAAGTAAAACACCGCCATTTTGTGTCTACGTCAGACATAGATATCAGTTTACGATTTTTAGTAATGTCTGCAAAGCCACCAATACCTGCTGACTTGGTTCAAGAATCCTGTATATTCTCAGGTGATCCAATGTCATTCAAGCAGATGAAGCAGTTGGAAGGGTAGTCAAAGAACTATTGTCACAGATCCCTTACAGAGTATCCCATGAGATAATCGATTTTGGTTTCACTATTTCAAAATATGAAGGATTTGACTCTCATAAGGAAATTGATACAGGCTCTGTGTTATAAATGTTATATTTGGGATAACTTTTGAGTTATCCAAGTTTTGAGTCCCGTCCCGAAAAAAGTACGAGAATCTGAACGTGTTATCCAAAATATAACAGTTGTTACAACTGACTACTTTCTAAATGGCATTGTGTGTTCATAGGCTCTGTGTTATTAAACTTATATTTAATGGGACATGCATGTTTACAAGCGGTGCTGAACATTGTTCCGGGTGCATATAAGTACAGTAAAGTACGTTTATAACGAACACGCTTATAGCGAACTGACGGATATAACGAACCGATTTTTTGTCCCGACTATTTGCTATAGTTATGCTGTATATATGCTTATAACGAACTACGGTTATAACAAACTAAAGTTAGTGGTCCCTTTGAGTTCGTTATAACCGTAGTTTACCGTAGTAGTCATCCCAGCACATCCAAGGCTACCCTGAGACTTTCATAGACTGAAGGGCCAGGGTGTGACACATATGTCGCTCGACCCCATGACCTTCTGGTTGAAGCATGTTTGGGAAGGCTCCAGACGGAAACGTTTTCAAAATATGCTTTACTGGCTATATTGAGCAAAGTGAATGATGTGCGTTGTTTTACGCCACTCTTAAGCAGTATTACAGCAATACCACGCTGGGGGAACCAAGAAAGTTGCGCACAGAGGGGAATCGAACCAGGTCTCCGGCGCACATTACCCACTGGGCTACCCCGCCGCCTCCCTTCATAAACGTCTGTCGCTAATACTGCTCAGAAAACCGAATAGAAGGGGCGTACGCGGCGGTTGGCTGAGAGTATGAGTATTAAAACAAATGTTTTGTATACTGTTTATTGATTAGGTTTAAAATACGTTCAAGTTTCATGTGTTTTATTGACTATGTATCATATCAAACTAACCTAAAAAAACATGTACATTTCATATTCCCAATTCTCAGGTTATCTGTCATTAGACTAAACATGCTTTCCATGACCATGATAGTGTTTGATATTCATCTGTATTGTCTTATAAACAGACACGCCATTTAATGTAAAAACAAACCTAATGTATACATCATTTGAGTACAATGCAACTCCATTAATCCGACCGATACCATCCCCGATGGAATCGTCCCAATTAACGAATCAATGCTATACATATATATTAATGTCCATAAGTATTTATATAGATGTTAAAACATAATTCCGAGGAATGAGAAGGTTCCACTGGACTAAATGTTTGGCCGTACCTTTATTCCGAGCACGGAGACCACTGCATCAGGTCTTGCTCCGCGTTTTTAAAACCCACTACTAAACTATTCGAGACTTAGCATGGAGTTAGATCCCGTTAAGGAAATAGAGGAAGCTGGTAGAGGCTGGGTCGCCTACACCGGAACCAGCGGTAAGCTGTGTCTAGAGGCCCCACCAGGCGGCGCCTCCGACCTTCACCTTCAAGGCGGAAGTAGGTGGAGTTGTAGAAAAAATACTTCAAATCACTACGCATGCGCACAGCAGTGCGGAAAGGTGGTATTCCTTGGAGTTGGGTGAGGTTGGACAGTTTCCTGGCCGAACTGATTCTTTTGCCGCCTTGCTTGTCTATAGTCATCTTCCAATACACTTTCCCTGTGAAGGGATCAATTGAAAGATTAGATGCATATTACATATATTCAGAAAACTGTGTCTGAGGGGGGTATTCATGTTAAACTACGGCACATTATCTCAGTGGGCTAGCACTATGAAAACGGCATTAGTCCGGACTAGCACAAAAAGCAAGACACACACACGCATGGACGCACGCACGCAGGCACGCACGCACGCAGGCACGCACGCACTGAGTGATTAGTATTTACATGGAAACAAAGCCACACACTTGGAGCTCTAACAAAGCTACCAACAGTACTCATCGTGGCTACAATCCCAAGTTTTGCGTGTACATGTACGGCTCATTGAGCATGCATGTATCGCTAATACTCAGAATCGTAGAAGGGTCTCTGTTTTTAGCAGAGCTCTCTTGTGATTATGGAAAGTATTTTTTCCACTTTTGTTGTCTGGATCAAGCATGGAAGGAACGTACATGTATTTTAGCTCGGCAGAGAAGATTTAAACAGGAATCATATGTTCCATTTTCTTGATTTTTAGGATTTGGGGTCCCGTGAACCAAATGATCAAACATTAAATGCAAATGTTGAAATAATAAAACCAAGGACCAAACTAGACCACCGGGCAAAAAAAGAATACGTTTGAAAAATCGATTTAGACCAAAAATTATAAAAACGCTGTCAAAACGTACTTGTCTGAAAACAGTCGCCGCAACGCGGCAAACCTGAGGTCGACTAACACAACTATGACACCTGTATCAAATACATCACCATCAAGTAATCGTTTCATTTTTAGCCACATCAAACATGGGTGTATACTTTCCTCTGCCCGGCAGTTTACATGAATGAATTAATATACCTCGAGTGAAGTAGCAGGTGTTGTCGTTGTCAAGGTAGAAGGCGGCATCTAGTCGCCTGGTCGGTAGCTGCAGTACCTCTGAGAATAACACAGGACCCTTGTAGAATCTGAACCTGGTCAGGCTAACGTCGTATGTGTAGATGTAGCTCACGTTACCCTGGAGACAACAGGCACGATTCCATCAGACAGACATACAGACAGACAGAGGTATTCGCTATAAGGCCTTTAGCCCAAAATACAGATTTAATGTTTATGCGTAGGCATTTACAAACATGTATCCTAATTTCTAGCATTGATAATTTTATAGACATATAACGGAAATAAAACCAATGTTATAGATGGCGTCATGGTTTACATTTTGTAAAGGACTGGAAAACATTAGAGAACATTAAAAAGCATGTTATAAATACTAAAGGTATCCTGAATAAATATACATCAGTCTACGCGTGGATGAGTGAGTGAGTGAGTATGGTTTTGCGCCACTTTTACCAATATTCCAGCAATATCACGGCGGGGGACACTAGAAATGCGCTTCACACATTGTACCCATGTCGGGGATCGAACCCGTGTCTTCGGTGTGACAAGTGTACGCTTTAACCACTAGGCTATCCACGAGTGGATGAGAGAATGTTGTATTTCGGTACAATCAGCAATATTCCAGCTACTACATAACCTAACATTCATTGGTCAAGTCCATACCGTAAAAAGATAGGTGAATGTTGTCTTGGGGCCACGCCCTCCTGTCGCCAGGGTTAGGGTTATGGTAGTGTCTACTGATGAGGGGGCGTCTGGGAACACAGAGCTGATGACACGTGGGTAACCAGGGATAACCCCGCGACGCCCAAACAGGTACACATAGTTACCTGAAATAGCAGGACATGTATTTGAAAAAATGATGACACTATGTGAGCGAGTGTGTAAGTATGGTTTTACGCAGCATATAACAATATTTCAGCAATATGACGGCGGGGTCACCATAAATGGGATTCACACGTGGTACCGGGAATCGAACTCGGGTCTTTGGCATGACGAGCGAACGTTTGTTACCACTAGGCTACCCCACGGTCCGACTGTGTGACAACTGGGAAGAAATTCCCTTTGATATCCCAAGGAAATAATCCTAACCTGAGGATAAACGTACGAGAGTTCAACTCAGTGAATGGGTTATCGTTGTATAGGGCTGCAGTCAGCAGTATTCCAGTGTTAACACTGTGTTCTCTAAATGGTCTCGGTTGGACCAGACAAACCAGTGCTCAAAGAAACAGCAACTAATTACACCATCGGAGCAAGATGCCAAGCAGGGAACAAAGCCTGATCGGCCGATCCCTTTAATAGTCCTCTGTGTCCCACAGAAGATCTCAATTCAATTTGTTTGTTTGTTGTTTAACACCGCACAGCAAAATTCCAGCTATATGACGGCGGTCTGTAAATAATCGAGTCTGGACCGGACAATCCAATGATTAATATCATGACCATCGATCCACGCAATTGAGATCGATGATATACATCAACCAAGTCAGCGAGCTCAGTTCAAAGCTATATTGACATTATTTTTGACGCTGCTATTTAATTGATGCCTTCAGCGTGTCAACACCCCTCTGGATCTTCAAAATACTATATACCGGTAACTATGGTGTTATCTATTAATTTAAGGGACTGAAAAGAATGGAGATCACTATGATAATAATTTGTGTTTCTGACAATGGTGCATTTACTCGCAAACCGTACAGAAACAGTGTGATGTTAATGAGAATTAATCAAAGTCTGCTATTTTCGTCCGTTCACGTTATACGTGCAATAGATCCCCATGACTCTAGCTATCGAAATCGTTCTCCGTATATGTCTATGAGTGCATTTACCTCTAAAACCATACATCTTCCCATCAGCTCCAAGAGTGACGGAGTCGATCCTTCCGCTACAGATGTCAGGGTCAAGGGATGCAGTAGGCGTAGTTGTACGTGCTGGTGGAGACGGGGTTGTCGTGACAATACTGCGAGGGGGACCTGCGGACATTCGTTATATGTAAATTAAAAATGCCAATGTCCAAAATTTGTCAGAAGGATCCAACGCGATAAAGGCAGACGTTCCTCAGACTAATTCTACGGAATCAAGATCAGGTAGCAGTATTAGCTCCTCGTGCTGAAATTACCTTTGTAAAATCATGGCACACACGCAATATAGAGTCTGGATGCCCCTGGCGTCTGTACACTCTTACCATTGAGAGCTTGGATACTCCTGGTAGCTGTACACTCACCGTAGAGAGCTTGGATACCCCTGATAGCTGTACACTCACTATAGAGAGTCTGAATGCCCCTGGTAGCTGTACACACACCATAGAGAGCCTGAATGTCCCTGGTAGCTGTACACTCACCATAGAGAGCCTGAATGACCCTGGTAGCTGTACACTCACAATAGAGAGCCCGAATGCCCCTGATAGCTGTACACTCACAATAGAGAGCCCGAATGCCCCTGGTAGCTGTACACTCACAATAGAGAGCCCGAATGCCCCTGGTAGCTGTACACTCACAATAGAGAGCCTGAATGCCCCTGGTAGCTGTACACTCACCGTAGAGAGCCTGAATGCCCCTGGTAGCTGGACACTCACCATAGAGAGCCTGAATGCCCCTGATAGCTGTACACTCACCGTAGAGAGCCTGAATGCCCCTGGTAGCTGTACACTCACCATAGAGAGCCTGGATGCCCCTGATAGCTGTACACTCACCATAGAGAGCCTGAATGCCCCTGGTAGCTGTACACTCACCGTAGAGAGCCTGAATGCCCCTGGTAGCTGTACACTCACCATAGAGAGCCTAAATACGCCTGATAGCAGTACACTTACCGTAGAGAGTCTGAATACCCCTGGTAGCTGTACACTCACCGTAGAGAGACTGCATGCCCCTTGTAGCTGTACACTCACCGTAGAGAGTCTGAATGCCCCTGGTAGCTGTACACTCACCGTAGAGAGCATGAATGCCCCTGGTAGCTGTACACTCACCGTAGAGAGCCTGAATGCCCCTGGGAGCTGTACACTTACCGTAGAGAGCCTGAATACCCCTGGTAGCAGTACACTCACCGTAGAGAGTCTGAATGCCCCTGGTAGCTGTACACTCACAATAGAGAGCCCGAATGCCCCTGGTAGCTGTACACTCACAATAGAGAGCCTGAATGCCCCTGGTAGCTGTACACTCACCGTAGAGAGCCTGAATGCCCCTGGTAGCTGGACACTCACAATAGAGAGCCTGAATGCCCGTGATAGCTGTACACTCACCGTAGACAGCCTGAATGCCCCTGGTAGCTTGACACTCACCATAGAGAGCCTGGATGCCCCTGATAGCTGTACACTCACCATAGAGAGCCTGAATGCCCCTGGTAGCTGTACACTCACCGTAGAGAGCCTAAATGCCCCTGGTAGCTGTACACTCACCATAGAGAGCCTGAATACCCCTGATAGCAGTACACTTACCGTAGAGAGTCTGAATACCCAGGGTAGCTGTACACTCACCGTAGAGAGACTGCATGCCCCTTGTAGCTGTACACTCACCGTAGAGAGTCTGAATGCCCCTGGTAGCTGTACACTCACCGTAGAGAGCCTGAATGCCCCTGGGAGCTGTACACTTACCGTAGAGAGCCTGAATACCCCTGGTAGCAGTACACTCACCGTAGAGAGTCTGAATACCCCTGGTAGCTGTACACTCACCGTAGAGAGTTTGGATACCCCTGGTAGCTGTACACTCACCGCAGAGAGACTGAATACCCCTGGTAGCTGTACACTCACCGTAGAGAGTCTGAAAGCCCCTGGTAGCTGTACACTCACCGTCGAGAGTTTGGATTACCCGGTAGCTGTACACTCACCGTAGAGAGTTTGGATACCCCTGGTAGCTGTACACTCACCGTAGAGAGTCTGAATGCCCCTGGTAGCTGTACACTCACCGTAGAGAGTTAGGATACCCCTGGTAGGTGTACACTCACCGTAGAGAGTCTGAATGCCCCTGGTAGCTGTACACTCACCGTAGAGAGTTTGGATTACCCTGGTAGCTGTACACTCACCGTAGAGAGTTTGGATACCCCTGGTAGCTGTACACTCACCGTAGAGAGTTTGGATACCCCTGGTAGCTGTACACTCACCGTAGAGAGTCTGAATGCCCCTGGTAGCTGTACACTCACCGTAGAGAGTTTGGATTACCCTGGTAGCTGTACACTCACCGTAGAGAGTTTGGATACCCCTGGTAGCTGTACACTCACCGTAGAGAGTCTGAATGCCCCTGGTAGCTGTACACTCACCGTAGAGAGTTTGGATTACCCTGGTAGCTGTACACTCACCGTAGAGAGTTTGGATACCCCTGGTACCTGTACACTCACCGTAGAGAGTTTGGACACCCCTGGTAGCTGTACGCTCACCGTAGAGAGTCTGAATGCACCTGGTAGCTGTACACTCACCGTAGAGAGTTTTGATTACCCTGGTAGCTGTACACTCACCGTAGAGAGTTTGCATACCCCTGGTAGCTGTACACTCACCGTAGAGAGTCTGAATGCCCCTGGTAGCTGTACACTCACCGTAGAGAGTTTGGATTACCCTGGTAGCTGTACACTCACCGTAGAGAGTTTGGATACCCCTGGTAGCTGTACACTCACCGTAGAGAGTCTGAATGCCCCTGGTAGCTGTACACTCACCGTAGAGAGACTGAATGCCCCTGGTAGCTGTACACACACCGTAGAGAGTCTGAATGCCCCTGGTAGCTGTACACTCACCGTAGAGAGTCTGAATGCCCCTGGTAGCTGTACACTCAACGTAGAGAGTCTGAAAGTCCCTGGTAGCTGTACACTCACCGTCGAGAGTCTGAATGCCCCTGGTGTGTGTACACTCACCGTAGAGAGCTTGGATACCCCTGGTAGCTGTACACTCACCGTAGAGAGCCTGAATGCCCCTGATAGCTGTACACTCACCGTCGAGAGTCTGAATGCCCCTGGTAGCTGTACACTCACCGTAGAAGGCTTGGATACCCCTGGTAGCTGTACACTCACCGTAGAGAGCCTGAATGCCCCTGATAGCTGTACACTCACCGTAGAGAGCCTGAATGCCCCTGGTGTTTGTACACTCACCATAGAGGGCCTGAATGCCCCTGGTAGCTGTACACTCACCGTAGAGAGCCTGAATGCCCCTGGTAGCTGTACACTCACCATAGAGAGCTTGGATACCCCTGATAGCTGTACACTCACCGTAGAGAGCCTGAATGCCCCTGATAGCTGTACACACACCGTAGAGAGTCTGAATGCCCCTGATAGCTGTACACTCATCGTAGAGAGCCTGAATGCCCCTGATAGCTGTACACTCACCGTCGAGAGTCTGAATGCCCCTGGTAGCTGTACACTCACCGTAGAGAGCCTGAATGCCCCTGATAGCTGTACACTCACCGTCGAGAGTCTGAATGCCCCTGGTAGCTGTACACTCACCGTAGAGAGCTTGGATACCCCTGGTAGCTGTACACTCACCGTAGAGAGCCTGAATGCCCCTGATAGCTGTACACTCACCATAGAGGGCCTGAATGCCCCTGGTAGCTGTACACTCACCGTAGAGAGCCTGAATGCCCCTGGTAGCTGTACACACACCATAGAGAGCTTGGATACCCCTGATAGCTGTACTCTCACCGTAGAGAGCCTGAATGCCCCTGATAGCTGTACACTCACCATAGAGAGCCTGAATGCCCCTGGTAGCTGTACACTCACCGTAGAGAGTTTGGATACCCCTGGTAGCTGTACACTCACCGTAGAGAGTTTGGATACCCCTGGTAGCTGTACACTCACCGTAGAGAGTCTGAATGCCCCTGGTAGCTGTACACTCACCGTAGAGTGTCTGAATGCCCCTGGCGTCTGTACACTCTTACCGTAGAGAGCTTGGATACCCCTGATAGCTGGACACTCACCATAGAGAGCCTGAATACCCCTGATAGCTGTACACTCACCGTAGAGAGCTTGGATACCCCTGATAGGTGTACACTCACCGTAGAGAGCCTGAATGCCCCTGATAGCTGTACACTCACCATAGAGAGCCTGAATGCCCCTGGTAGCTGTACACTCACCGTAGAGAGCTTGGATACCCCTGATAGCTGGACACTCACCATAGAGAGCTTGGATACCCCTGATAGCTGTACACTCACCGTCGAGAGCCTGAATGCCCCTGGTAGCTGTACACTCACCGTCGAGAGCCTGAATGCCCCTGGTAGCTGTACACTCACCGTAGAGAGCCTGAATGCCCCTGGTAGCTGTACACTCACCGTAGAGAGCCTGAATGCCCCTGGTTCCTGTACACTCACCGTAGAGAGCTTGGATATCCCTGATAGCTGTACACTCACCGTAGAGAGCCTGAATGCCCCTGGTAGCTGTACACTCACCGTAGAGAGCTTGGATACCCCTGATGTCTGTATACTCTCACCATAGAGAGCCTGAATGCCCCTGATAGCTGGACACTCGCCGTAGAGAGCTTGGATACCCCTGCTAGCTGTACTCTCACCATAGAGAGACTGCATGCCCCTTGTAGCTGTACACTCACCGTAGAGAGTCTGAATGCCCCTGGTAGCTGTACACCCACCGTAGAGAGACTGAATGCCCCTGGTAGCTGTACACTCACCGTAGAGAGTCTGAATGCCCCTGGTAGCTGTACACTCACCATAGAGAGCTTGGATACCCCTGATAGCTGTACACTCTCCATAGAGAGCTTGGATACCCCTGATAGCTGTACAATCACCATAGAGAGCCTGAATGCCCCTGGTAGCTGTACACTCACCGTAGAGAGCCCGAATGCCCCTGGTAGCTGTACACTCACCGTAGAGAGCTGAATACCCCTGATGTCTGTATACTCTCACCATAGAGAGCCTGAATGCCCCTGATAGCTGGACACTCGCCGTAGAGAGCTTGGATACCCCTGCTAGCTGTACACTCACCGTAGAGAGCTTGGATACCCCTGGTAGCTGTACACTCACCGTAGAGAGTCTGAATGCCCCTGGTAGCTGTACACTCACCGTAGAGAGACTGAATGCCCCTGGTAGCTGTACAATCACCATAGAGAGCCTGAATGCCCCTGGTAGCTGTACACTCACCATAGAGAGCCTGAATGTCCCTGGTAGCTGTACACTCACCGTGGAGAGCCTGAATGCCCCTGGTAGCTGTACACTCACCGTAGAGAGCCTGAATGCCCCTGGTACCTGTACACTCACCGTAGAGAGCTTGGATACCCCTGATAGCTGTACACTCACCGTAGAGAGCTTGGATACCCCTGATAGCTGGACACTCACCGTAGAGAGTCTGAATAACCCTGGTAGCTGTACACTCATCGTAGAGAGCTTGGATACCCCTGATGTCTGTATACTCTCACCGTAGAGAGCCTGAATGCCCCTGGTAGCTGTACACTCACCGTAGAGAGCTTGGATACCCCTGATGTCTGTATACTCTCACCATAGAGAGCCTGAATGCCCCTGGTAGCTGTACACTCACCGTAGAGAGCTTGGATACCCCTGATGTCTGTATACTCTCACCGTAGAGAGCCTGAATGCCCCTGATAGCTGGACACTCGCCGTAGAGAGCTTGGATACTCCTGCTAGCTGTACTCTCACCATAGAGAGCTTGGATACCCGTGATAGCTGGATACTCACTGTAGAGAGCTTGGATACCCCTGGTAGCTGGATATTCACCGTAGAGAGCTTGGATGCCCCTGGTAGCTGCACAGTCACCATAGAGAGCTTGTATACCCCTGATAGCTAGACAGTCACCGTAGAGAGTGTGAATGCCCCTGGTAGCTGGATACTCACCGTAGAGAGCTTGGATACCCCTGATGTCGTCCTGTGTGAGCGGACTGTCTGTACACTGTCGCACCCATGGCCACATGATGGCGCCCTTCTCCCTGGAATGTTGTAGACCGAGACTGTGCCCAATCTCATGGACGCCAACACAGAATATGTCCTCTCCTGAAGATAGAAATTGTACAAACATTTCATGGATAAGTAATGGATTCTTTCGGCGAAAAAACTGCTCGATCCGGTATATGTTGACACAGTGAGCATTCGTCTGATATTCCACCTACTGTTTGGTATGTTTCCCTCGGTCGTCCACGGCTCGTCATCGTCAAAGTGGACATCGCCGTTGAGACCACGTCTGCTGTCACCTGGGAAGTACGCATGCGCCAAAGTGTTTCCTTTTCCGTCAAATGGTGCCCTGTCTCCATGGTAACCGCTGTTGAACTGGATGACGATGTCGACGTTACAGTGGGGCAGTTGGGTGAAGGTCAGAGAACTGACGTCGGACCATATCTATAGTAGACAGGTAGATATACACCCACTCATTAGACAGTGAACGCGTAAGTAGCATTTTGACAGAAACAATGATTATGCATAGATGATAATGATGTGAGAGAAATAAATAAATGCTCTGGGTGAGATAAATATAACACTGGACCACAACAAAACGAATCTTGTTCGTTCTGATCTTCCCTGCCTTGCCTATCATGGTGTTACTAATGATATCAAATTTCTAGATGCAGTTTAGTTTGAAGACTGTTGTAACGCTGCGAACGCTTTGTAGAGCTTTTCATGATAAGCGTTGTCATTGATAGACTTCAAACTTCTGTCTCCAACATATGAGTCAGTAAAGCGTATTGGTCCTGCAAATCTTCAAGACCTGACTTCAAAATATGGTCCTGCGAACCAACGTCGTTCAACCGATCAACTTCTCCTTGATGTTCATGTCTATCAAATGTCAACTAAAACGCTTTCACTTCATCAGCTGCATCTCTGAATTCCCTCCCACTGACCCTGAAAACTGCTCCCTCTCTTTCTGCTTTTAAATCTGGATGGAAAACTTAAAATAATAAAGACAGTCCAAATGACAAATGTCAGCTATTGGGCGGCATGGTGGCCAAGTCGTTTTAAGCTTCAGCAGAGCAAGAAAACCTTGGTCGTGGGTTTCATTCCAGGTTCGGCCTAAAAATGTTTCCAGGTTTGTCAGAACCATGCCCATGCTCGTGGGTTTCTCCACTGTGGAAGACGTCTACGACCTGTATCAGTTCGAGCTTCGATATAACTGAACTACAGTAACCTTGCCCCAGTGTAGAATCGCTTCCCATGACCTGTGTTTGAAACATGCGTCGACGAAGCTAGATCGGGTGGTCAAACCCATTTGCTGGGTTTATTGCGACTTATCGCGATCGTCAGACTCAATTACATGGATCGATGCTCATGCTTTAGCCACTGCTTTTACTCGCCCATATTCAAGCATATTGGCTTTACTACGGCGTTAAACGACATTCACACACCGAAACCAAACTCACGCACTCGATAATTTACGTAGACACCACATAGGCATGCAAGATGTACAACCTTTAACTTGCAATACGCTTTACCTTAAACTTGCAATACGCTTTACCTTAACCATGCAATACGCTTGAACTTAAACATGCAAGACATTTTACCTTAAACATGCAAACCACTTTACCTTTAATATGCAATAGGCTTTACCTTAAATATGCAATACGCTGGAACTTAAACATGCAAGACGTTATACCTTAAACATGCAATATGCTTTACCTTAAATATGCAATATGCTTTACCTTCAACATGCAATACGCTTTACCTTAAACATGCAATACGCTTTCCCTTAAACACGCAATACGCTTTAGCTTAACCATGCAATACCTTTTAACTTAAACATGCAATACGCTTGACCTTAAACATACAATATGCTTTACCTTAAACGTGCAATACGCTTTACCTTAAACTTGCCATACGCTTTACCTTAAACATGTAATACGCTTTACCTTAAACATGCAATACGCTTGACCTTAAACATGCAAGACGTATTACCTTAAACATACAAGACGTATTACCTTAAACGCTTTGGCCAGCACCCGGTCAACTCCGGAATGTGTTGTGTCGGGTGCGAGCGGGTATGTTCTCACGCAGTACGTCAGGTTTGTATGCTTCCATCGAGTATCTATGGCAATGTTTACGGACGTTATTAATAGGTATTACATCATCTACATCACACACTGATTGCTTTAACATAAACATATGTTTATTGTGACGTACTTCACAATGCAGCTCCGATATAAGTGAATCATGAAGTATAGAGATTTGCGGTGATGAGGTGATTTGCGGTCATAGACGTATTCTGGAATTAACAATATGTAAAAAAAAAAAACATACGAAAAAAAAGAAAAAGCTTAAAAGGCAATGTGACATAAAATAATTCAATAATTGCTGGTTATCGAGCAGTTTTTTCATGTCTTTATGTGTACTACTTTCCTGGGGCGTGTAGTTAAGGCGTTGGCTCGTCACGCCGAAGATTCTGGCTCAATTCCCAACATCCATGTTTTGGTGTCCCCGTTCGATATATTGCTGATGAATATTGCTAAAAGCGGAGTACAATCACACTCACTCACTCAATCAATCTGCTACTGTCTGTGCTATCACGTCTCCAACTACTATAACTGCAACCTCATCTACCTCAAATACTGTCTCTCCATCGTGCTAGGGGCGGTGGGATTGCCTAGTGGTTATAACCTTCGCTCGTCACGCCGAAGACCCGGGTACGATTCCCGACATGGGTACAATGTGTGAAGCCAATTTCTGGTGTCTCCCGCCGTGATATTTCTGGAATACTTCTAAAAGCGGCGTAAAACCATGCTCACTCTATTTGTTTGTTTGTTTGTTTGTTGTTTAACGGGGGCACGGGTGGCCCAGTCGTCTAAGGCGCCGCAATTCGCTGTGCAGAGTTGCGTCCCTTGAGCACGCCAGAAACCTATGATTGCGGGTTCGAATTCCGGTTCACCCCGATTATGTTTCTAGGTTTGTCAGCACCATACCCGTGCTCGTGGGTTTTACCGAAGTGGTAAACGTCGAAGACTTGCATCACTTCTGGCTCACACGCCATGATATAACTGGAATACTGTTAAAATCGGCGTTAAACCCAACTCACTCACTCAATGTTGTTTAACGCTGCACATATGGTGGCGATCTATAAACAAGAGTCTGGATCAGACAATCCAGTGATTGACATTATGAGTATCGATCTACGCAATTGGGATATGATGACATGCATCAACCAAGTCAGCGAGCCTGACCACCCGATCCCGTGAGACGCCCCATGCGACCAACATGGCTTGCTAAAGACCAATTCTAACCCGGATCTTCACGGGAATCTGCTGTTCTCCCGCTGTTCACTAGATCTCTGTATGGTTGCAATACTGCCTATGTAACTTGTTATACTTTCCGTTCTGGTTTGTCTGGTCCAGATTCGATTATTTCCAGATGTGTTATAGTTGACTACGGCATTAGACAACATTCACTCATGCACTCACTAATGACAGTAATAGGCCGACGATTTATACGACCACTCCTTCTACTCGACAATTAAGGTCAACAAGTTAGGTACATTATTACATTATACCGCCATTTCTAATGACGAGTGGGGCGGTTGGGTAGCCTAGTGGTTAAAGCGTTCGCTCGTCACGCCGAAGACCCGGGTTCGATTCCCGACATGGGTACAATGTGTGAAGCCCATTTCTGGTGTCCCCCGCCGTGATATTGCTGGAATATTGCTAAAAGCGGCGTAAAACCATACTCACTCACTCACTCTAATGACGAGTTTGACTTAAAGATGTGTATACGTATCTATGGAGTACTGTTATGTACTTTGTCATGTGACTGAGAGGATGAAGAAAGTGTGAAAACACGAGGATACAAGAACGCGACATTTGATGGGTCATGGCATTTCCGCACTTTCAACATATTTGTGTGTTTACGAAAGGTCGAGGTCGCACAAACCGAGGACGCGATGTTGCCCTTGAAGGGGGGCCGAGAGGACACATTGCTTTATTACCCTGCGTCAAGATTGTATCAAGTAGTAGAATATCTTGTGGTCAGTACGGATGACTGTCTACGGCACTGACCCGTGATTTCAGGGTACGATGATGCACAGTCAGCCAGGTTACTGCTCAGAGTGGACCGTGATGGTCAACCATCTACACCATCTGTGACAGTCAACCATCTACACCATCTATGACAGTCAACCATCTACACCATCTATGATAGTCAACCATCTATACCATCTATGAAAGTCAACCATCTACACCATCCATGATAGTCAACCATCTACACCATCCATGACAGTCAACCATCTACACCATCCATGACAGTCAACCATCTACACCATCCATGATAGTCAACCATCTATACCATCTATGACAGTCAACCATCTACACCATCTATGACAGTCAACCATCTACACCATCCATGACAGTCAACCATCTACACCATCTATGATAGTCAACCATCTATACCATCTATGAAAGTCAACCATCTACACCATCTATGATAGTCAACCATCTACACCATCCATGACAGTCAACCATCTACACCATCTATGATAGTCAACCATCTATACCATCTATGATAGTCAACCATCTACACCATCCATGACAGTCAACCATCTATACCATCTATGATAGTCAACCATCTACACCATCCATGATAGTCAACCATCTATACCATCCATGATAGTCAACCATCTATACCATCCATGATAGTCAACCATGTATACCGACCATTGATGGTCAACCATATCTATACCATCTCTGCTGGTCCACTATCTATAATATCCATGATAGTCAACCATCTATACCATCCATGATAGTCAACCATCTACACCATCCACGATGGTCAACCATCTATACCATCCATGACAGTCAACCATCTACACAATCCACGATGGTCAACCATCTACACCATCCATGATAGTCAACCATCTACACCATCCATGATAGTCAACCATCTATACCATCCATTATGGTCAACCATCTACACCATCCACGATGGTCAACCATCTACACCATCCATGATAGTCAAACATCTATACCATCCATGACAGTCAACCATCTATACCATCCATTATGGTCAACCATCTACACCATCCACGATGGTCAACCATCTACACCATCCATGATAGTCAAACATCTATACCATCCATGACAGTCAACCATCTATACCATCCATTATGGTCAACCATCTACACCATCCACGATGGTCAACCATCTATACCATCCACGATAGTCAACCATCTACACCATCCATGATAGTCAACCATCTATACCATCCATGATAGTCAACCATCTACACCATCCATGATAGTCAACCATCTACACCATCTATGATAGTCAACCATCTACACCATCCATGATAGTCAACCATCTATACCATCCATTATGGTCAACCATCTACACCATCCACGATGGTCAACCATCTATACCATCCATGGTAGTCAACCATGTATACCACCCATTGATGGTCAACCATATCTATACCATCTCTGCTGGTCCACTATCTATACCATCCATGATAGTCAACCATCTATACCATCCATTAAGGTCAACCATCTACACCATCCATGATAGTCAACCATCTATACCATCCACGATGGTCAACCATCTATACCATCCATGATAGTCAACCATCTATACCATCCATTATGGTCAACCATCTACACCATCCACGATGGTCAACCATCTATACCATCCACGATAGTCAACCATCTACACCATCCATGATAGTCAAACATCTATACCATCCATGATAGTCAACCATCTATACCATCCATGATAGTCAACCATCTATACCATCCATGATAGTCAACCATCTACACCATCCATGATAGTCAACCATCTATACCATCCATGATAGTCAACCATCTATACCATCCACGATGGTCAACCATCTATACCATCCACGATAGTCAACCATCTATACCATCCACGATGGTCAACCATCTATATCATCCATGAAAGTCAACCATCTATACCATCCATGATAGTCAACCATCTACACCATCCACGATGGTCAACCATCTATACCATCCATGATAGTCAACCATCTACACCATCCATGATAGTCAACCATCTATACCATCCATATTAGTCAACCATCTACACCACCCACGATAGTCAACCATCTATACCATCCATGATAGTCAACCATCTGTACCATCCATGATAGTCAACCATCTATACCATCCATGATAGTCAACCATGTATACCGACCATTGATGGTCAACCATATCTATACCATCTCTGCTGGTCCACTATCTATAATATCCATGATAGTCAACAATCTATACCATCCATGACAGTCAACCATCTGTACCATCCATGACAGTCAACCATATATACCATTCTTGATAGTCAACATCTATACCATCCATGATAGTAAAACATCTATACCATCCATCACTAATTTTTAAGTGAGTGAGTGGGTTGTGTTTAATACAACTTTTACTTTTTTAAGAGTATTCCAGTTATATAATCGCGTGTCAACTTAATGTGGGAGGAAATTGATGGTCTTAGATGTTTACAGCTTTGGTGAAACCAACAAGCACGGGCAGGGTGCTGACAAACCTAGAAACATAATCAGAGCGAACAGGGATTCGGGCCCACAATCATAGTTTTGTGTGGTGGCTAAAGGCGCAACTCGGTACAGCGAATTGCAGCACCGAGACGACTGTCCCACCCGTGCCCCATGTTTGTTGAGAGACGATATCCAAGAGGTCATTTGTACGTCACATATATACGAGATTGCGTTATATTAATATGAAGAAAAGAAAATTCTATACGTACCATCTAGGACATAGCGCTTTATTCTCGATGATGTCACAACGAACCGGATTATGTCGGGCACGCCACACCGCTTCCGGTTTATCATGTTGAGGGTTTCCGGATTGAGACGACCTGCAACAAGGCATTGAAACCTCGTCAGTCGACCCGGACCCAACAAAAGCGTGACAGTCAGACAGATAGTCACATAGTCATAATAACTAATGTCTTGGTTCCTAGCTTCCACTGCAGGCCCGTAGGACCAAGGGGGCTAGGGGTGGGGATGGGATGGGGTGGGGTCGGGAATGGGGGTGGGGTGGGTCGTATATTCCATGCAATATTATCATTGCAAAGGATTAAACGATATATGAATATTCTTTATCCTGCTTTGAATATATAATACACGCACATAACTAGGGGACATTACGAATTCCCTTCCCTTGATTTACCCAAATGAACCAGATATAAAAGAAACCAGTGAGCCCTCCAAATCTGTTTCATAGTTAGATCTTTGCATGAATATTCAAAGTTACAAAACTCTCCCTACTTCATGACAAGAGGGATAACTTCAACTTTCCAATTATCAGCTTTCCCTTTCTGTCGAGCAATATTCCTGCAGCTCCAGACCTTGGTATCTACATGTCACACCTTTTAAGGTACAACCGAGCATGCATACCACGATTTCAAAGAGCGTCATACGACTCTCGATCAGAAGTTGTTTGATTAAGGACACAATGCCTCAGTAAAGCTTTCCAAAAGTTTTATGGTAGACATGTGGAGGACATTTCTAGGGGAACAATTGACATGCCTTCGCATGTGCCACGGGTGGCTGGATACGTTCACCTTTTCGCGAACACCTGGTATCATCACTGTTTGATAGTGATTCATAAACACATAGCCATGACAAAGTCGGAATCGCACACTTGACTCTTCTTTCGGCAGAGATTTCTTAAGAAATATTTAAATGGTTTTGTCTCTTTATTTAGTCAGCCTTACCGATGATAATTCGAGATATTCAAGAAATGCGGTCATTCTAAGATTCATGTATGTTTTCCTACATGTTCCTACATGTCTCGTTACCCCTACCTCTATTGAGAATTTTATAAGACTTATGTCAGCAGAAAACGAACAAATTATAAAAGGCTTAGGTAAACTTCTCTCCCAAGTCATGAACATCGAACGGAAACACAGCGTTAAACGGTAAATCATTATTAAATCTACTCAGCATGCAGATATATATACATGTACAGTATATTTCCATTGTATTATCCATGGGCCGGTGTCCTGGAGTACCGAATAAATTTGTCTGTCTGTCTGTCATGTAGGTTTTCCATATCTTACCCATGTAAGTTTTAGAGCTAGACTATTAAAAACTCGTCATTGAATTTATTGTTCCAATGACGTAACGTTACGAATTTATGACGTCATGAACAATGTGACGTCAGATTAGATCGCCTATCCAACCAGCTTTGAGAATTAGTAAAGTGCAACTATCAGAGAGTTATTGTACCCTTATGTGTATCAGTTATATATACATTACTTACCTGTAAGCTGAAGATGCGCGCGTCGCTGAAACTCTGCTATGGCATCATGGAATGAACCAGGAAGCCATGGAAACTGTGTCATCAGGTAACCATAGTGATAGAGGTAGTTCTTGGCGAAATAGAAAAGGGAAAATTGTTCACCTTTATTCAACAAATACAAATATGAGTTTTTACAGACACGGAATATCATGGACACTTTAAGACTGGCAAGGCAAGGGAGTTACATGTAACTGACTTAAAGTGAAAGTCCAGTTTCCATCCTTGCCGAACCAGGCTGGAATTTCTAGGCTCGATCGTAGCGCCACCAGTGGCTATTACGAGTTATGTCCCTCCCGTTGACCAATCAGATACTACCCTCATATAACCTGCATTTGCTTCAAACAAAATGGCGGCGCCCAGTCAATACGATCTGATCGATAATCAAAATCTATATTGAGATAAAATGCTACGTACATCAAAGCACGTGAGCACAATGATTAAAAACATGAAACGATTTGGAAAATAGCTGCTGACGCCGAGTTGTCGGTACACATTCTTTGTAAAACGGATGTCGATTTCGTTGCGCAACTCGTTAGTCCAGCCAAAATATAACTCTATAATTCCAGCCTAGTTCGGCAAGGGTGGAAACTGGACTTTTAAAGTTAAACACCCTTGCCACGGGAACATGAACAATACTCGAACAAAAATACAAGTAACAGCTGCAGTTTTTGCAGTGACATGCAATTATCGGGGAAGTAGCATACTGTGCATTAAATCGTTAAAAACTAAACAGTCATTACTGTCTGACAATACTGGCAATATCAGGGAAGCATTTACGAACATTTCACAAACAGAAATTAAACATTATTCACGCTCAGTAAATTGATCCATGTGAAGTATTTACCGACAGATTGCTATAAGGAAATAACTCACCACTACTCGAAAATAATCCGCTGCGGTTATGCTAATTTCTGTGTTTATGTCATATATCGAAAAACACATAAATATCCCCAAAAGGAGCAAACTGTTATGCGACATCTTTGCCGTCGTGTTTTTCTCCTGAAAATGAACCGTTATGCGAGAGATGGTAAATGTTTACTTCGGCCAAACTAAAGGATGAGCGTTTCTTTTCTTTAACTCAAATTGACAATTACTTCGTACAAAGTAAACCCACTTATTCACTGGTATGTGTGTTCTGTTCATCATTAGCTCTCAACGGAAGTACCGTACATCTATAATCAAATACAAGGGGCCAATTAAACCGTTACGCGGTGACTTTACCCACAAGGAATGACAATCTATCGCTTTAAAGCTGGTTTCGTTCAACTGTGTTGATACTCAGAGCAAGCCCGAGTTTTGTCCGGACACATTGTAAATGGTTGTGAGAACTGTATTCCCTTCTCTTCCAGCACCTTACGTCCACCTGGGTACTATACGTCACGGATTCTGCTGATCAGCCATAATCATTTTCCTCGTTACTGGTGTGATAAATGAATGCATTAAAAACCCCTGCAACCTTTTGAAACCAACGATTCGAATTATTTTACTTGGTTGGCTTATTTTTATGACGTGATATGCATTTATTATCTCATAACAATGATACTAGTATTCATAGTACTACAAGTAGTAGTAGTTGTTATTGCTGCTATAATTATTATTATCATTCTTCTTCTTATTATTTAATTACATAAATAATAATAATGATAATAACAAAAACAATAATAATAATAAGAGCAACAACAACAACAACAACAACAATAATAATAATAAGAAGAAGAACAACAATAATAATAATAAGAGCAACAACAACAGCAACAATAAGAAGAAGAGCAGCAACAACAACAACAACAACAATAATAATAATAAAAATAAAAATAATAATAACAACAACAATAATAATAATAACTAACAATACTGACACAAGGTGGAGCTGGTCGTATAATACCACTAATTATTATTACTACTACACAAACACCCGGTGTCAAAATTATGAGATTTTCCTTTGTGCCTCTCCGTTTTCTGTCACAGATAGCCAAACTGGGTACTCCCTGACTAAGATGAGTAAGCATTTTTAAATATCACCTAGGCTTGAGTTGAAAGGTGACACAACAATCTCCACAATTTACTGAACACTTAGTAAAGGTGTCGGTATTCCTAAAGTTAGTTTGAACTTTACACACGTGGCCTTGCTTTATCCATTGTTGAGGTTTATCTAAAAAGGTCGAACGGATAATGGATTCGCTTTTCAGTTAGACAATGTCGAGTTACTTTCAACACATAACGTGGGTATGGTTAATATAAACGTAACAATGCTTATTTACATTCTACTGACCATGTTCATGTGATAGCATTGGAATGTTTTAAATCTTCAACGGTTGACCTGACCTATCTCATTTGAATGTGTCTCATACTGTTGATTTCGTGGGTGTTACAGTGAGAGGTATAGTGAGTGAGTGAGTAGGGTTTAACGCGGATTTTAACAGTATTCCAGTTATATCGAGACGTGTCAGCTTAATGTGGGAGGAAAGCCCGAAGTGATGCAGGTCTCAGACGTTTACCACTTCGGTGAAACCCACGAGCACGGGTATGGTGCTAACAAACCTAGAAACATAATCGCGGCGAACCGGGATTCGAACCCACATTCATAGGTTTCTGGCGTGCCCAAGGGACGCAACTCGGCACAGCGACTCGAGACGATTGGGCCACCCCTGCCCCACTGTGAGAGGTATAATTAAGTCGATCTGTTTATACTCATTACGATATCGTGGTATTCAAAGGCTTACCTCTTGTTGTTGTCGTTTGCTGATGAAATGTGTTTTTTTGGTATATTTAAGAAATAAACGAGTGGGAGTTGTTTATGATACAATAGAACAATGAAACACCGCAGGGAGAATAAATCACGAGGGGCGCAGTACGATACATTTGGTCTAGATTATTCTCCCTGAAGTGTTCGATAAACAACTCCCACACGTCGATTATTTCTTAAATATAACAAAAAACACATTTCATATATTTGAAACAATTTTGTCAAGATATATAGTGTCTATTCATAACATATATATCTAAACAAGTCCATAAATGTTCAAGACTCCGAGGCTTTACTTATATACTTCAGTGTGAAAGACTGAGTACAAGAGTTGCCTCCCCTTAAATTGTCTCCCTTTATCGTAAGTGTCACGCCCGTACACAATCTATTGAAGTTCTTTTAACGTTAGTTCCGCATTGACAAGTCAAATAATGGCAGACGATCATTTATCGAGTTAATATCACTTCTTGACGTTTGTTATTCTCTCGAAAATGTTATGAACGTTATAAAACTGTAAATTTCTGATTGAACTCTTCAATCGAGACTATTCGTTTCGCAAAGCGCCATGTTGGTTACTTAACCAGCGTGTATTCTTTCGCTTCCAACAACGGTCTTCTAGTTTTCAAGAATATTTTTTGTTAAAGTTGATTTTGTATAAAATCATACCGAACTGTATGTTAAAGAATTTTCATGACCCTTTATATTTTGTGATACTTTTGTTTATGTTTTTAAGATTGTGCAAACACGAAACTACTTTTAAGTCGCAAATACAAGAGGTGGTGAACCCTAAGGTAGGGAGAATTTACGTTTCAAGGTTTTACAATTGTAATGAAATAATTTAATGTTTCTGTAGAACGACACAAAAAGTATCTTATATATAGGATAGTCCGTGTGTCTCGTGAAATATCATGTTTCTCTCATCTCGTGACAGGGAAAAAGGAGATATTTTCACTCGTGGCTTCTCCACTCGTGAAAATATCTCCTTTCCCCCGTCACTCGAGGAGAGAAACATGATATTATCGTGACACATGAAATGTCCTCCATTTCTTTCTATTTATCATGTAAAAGCATTGTCCTAACCCTTTCAGTTGTAATTAGTTATAAGCTGTCTTCAGTGTAAAATGTACTGATGACCACATTCAGTAGATTGTGACGTCATGGAAAGCGATGGCATCACAATGGTTTGCAAAGCATTATGGTGCAATTTTATTGCAGCGATATCTCCTAGTACGCATTATCTCACCCAATTGGTTAATAATTAACAAAGTGGATATCGCGTTATCAGTCATTCGAAACGACGGGGATGACGATATATTACGCGATAATGCCTGTAATAATTCGACCCCAATCATTTAAGAATTGACCTTCACTTTGTGTGAGTTCACACAAAGTAAAAGTCAATTCTTATAAAAAAAATTATCACAATTTCTTACCTCAAAGGATGTAGGCCAAGATCTAAACACATTTTTATTTAGTACGCGTGACTTCATGTTTACACTGACAGCCATACAACAACAAGCCAGATCGCGGAGTAAAATAGTTCCTCAAAAAGAGAGGTGACATGGGCGTATGGATGCACAACTTGAATTTCAGAAACATCTTACGCAGCACATGTGTTCAAATCATATCCTCATTAGATGAGGAAGGTCTGTAAAGAACTACCTCAGTAAGTCAGTCACAATGACAGCGCGTCGTAATACATTTACAGCAAGTACAAAACGTCTAAATGGCCGACACGATAAACGTGACGGGAGAGATTTCCGAAGTTGTTAATGAACCTGTGGCGGTTACATGTGTTAGTCATCATTGATCAACTGGCCGATCATTGAAAGGTGAATAAAGAAGCGTCAAACAGACACTAAGGTAAATTCATAGATTGCTGGAGACGGTCAATGTCAGCCTAGGCACGGATCGAGTCGATACTACGATAGTTTAGATGTGCATTTCATCGTTTGTTCATTAGGACGGGCCGTGGCAATGATATTCGTGAACAATCATGCAGTCACGCTCTCTGACATTTCTCAATGTATACTGAAACGCTGAGACCAAGAATAAAGGTTCTAAATGATCAGAAAGAACGCATATGTATGTTTTCGTGCTAGGGAATTCCCAGGGGTTTCCCCAGGAATGTGGAAGTAGTCCGTCAGTGTTTACGTCATTTCAAGAACACGGTCTCGTGAAAAACGTATGAACGTCAAATTGTGTCGTTCATACACTTATGAACTTCAGTTTCGCGGTCATGTGACCGACCTCTCGTCCAATGGAAAAGCCGTATATCGTGTAAACTTATAATAATTTATCAGATCGTCTTTAACGTTCAACCCTTATCAAGTGGCGCTAATGATGCCTCGTCAAGAAAGGTCAATATGCCTAAGCCTGATGCATTGTGCGTCTCTCTATGACAACTTAGTGTACAAACTCACCTCAGGCATGTCCGGTAGACCCAAATGTGCAAATCGATGTGCATGGCCATCTTCTATTTGGTCATGTAGGAAATGATGATAGCCTAATAATAGAAACGCGAGTACAGTAGGTGTCATAATCCCAGTAGCCATGCATTGTCTCCATCGACTGATAACCTCGGTCAACTCGGTGTTTTGTTATTGTGTCTGTGCTAACCTTTAAGGGCAGACGGACACACTTGACATCAAAGCTAAACATCACCCTGTACACACCAAAATGAACAAATCCTACTTTACTTCAAAAGAGTGACATTTAACCGTCTCTGACATGCGGCTACAACAATGCTGTAGCCAACAGAAGCTTAAATAAGTGGTAAGCTACACTGGCGGTTTAACGTCTTTGTCATGTTTCCATAACGTTTGTCTTTAATGAGGTGGGGTGAAATGGGGCTTTACGCCGCGTTCAGGATTATTCCATTTATAAGACGACGTGTGAGTGAGTGAGTATATTTGTTTTTTACGCCGCTTTTAGCAATACACAAGCAATATCATGGCGAGGACACCAGAAATGGGTTTCACACATTGTACCCATGTCGGGATTTGAACCCGGGTCTTTGGTGTGACGAGCGAACACTTTAACCACTAGGCTACCCGACCGACCCTTTAGGCGACGTGTGTGTATGTGTGTGTGCTTTCAGATATCTAACGCATTTTATCATAGATAATCCCTAGTATATATATTGACTCCGCGCTTGTTTCATCCCATTCGTGCGGAGCGGCAGGCAGCGTTTCCACAATTGTCATCTTTTAACGTCTTTTGGTGTGACACGGCCGGGAATCGAACCACCGACCTTCCGCTCTCCGACTAGACGCCCTTTCTATCCACTACACCCCGAAGGCTGTCTTCAGTTGTCAGTGTGTATAACTCTTAACTGTGACTCATTGTGTGTTGAGATGCATCTACGAAGACGTTGTAGATGCGACGTCATGGAAATTGTGACGTCATACAATGAGAAATAGCACCAAATTACGAAGAATAAATACCTAATACTAAATATGTCGGTATCAATGTTGTACATAATTCGCAACTGTTTCGATGGTCGGGGATTGTAGTGACTAGAATATGTTGATTCCGGGGGTTTGTTTGTTTGTTTGTTGTTTAACGCCGCACTCAGCAATATTTCAGCTATGTGACGGCGGTCTGTAAATAATCGAGTCTGGACCAGACAATCCAATGATTGACATCATGAGCATCGATCCACGCAATTGGGATCGATGACATGCATCAGTCAAGTCAGCGAGCCTGACCACCCGATCCCGTTGGTCGCCTCTTACGACAGGCATAGTCGCCGTTTACTGCAAGCATGGGTTGCTGAAGACCTGTTCTACCCCGGATCTTCACAGGTCTGATTCCGGAAGTAGAACCTGGAAGTAGAATCTGGAAGTAGAACCCGGAAGTAGAATCTGGAAGTAGAATCAACGAGCCCCAAATGGGCGAGTTAAGTCGACTTCAGGAACTAACAGATTCGCGTGATTTCTCCGTCATGAACCATGTAATGGTTGATATAGACAGTTTTAGTTGTTAAAATGCCTGCCCAGAATGGCAAGTGAATTCCTTGCTCAAAATCAGCTGCAACAACAATAGCGTGACGCCATCATAATGGTTTAAATCTTACACGTCCCTTTCACAAACAGTGACAATTGCTGTGAGAGAGAGTTGCTCACTTAAGTCGCTAGCCGTTGGGGCTGCATGCTTTTTATCTACCCAAGCCCCCATAGGGGTTCCAGGGGCTAAAGTGCCTGTCTGAAATTAAACGATCTCAATTGGCTGATATGTGTCATCGTACCCTTATGAGGTGATTGTTGTTCCTGCCATCAATCACTGGTTTACCTGGTACGGACTCGAGAAGTTGCAGAACGCAGGGATGTGTCGCGAATTTTGTTCCCGCTATCAATCACTGGTTTACCTGGTACCGACTCGAGTAGTTGCAGAATTCAGGAATGTGTCGCGAATGTTGTTCCTGCTATCAATCACTGGTTTACCTGGTACCATACAAACAAACTTTCCATATGTGAACGTGTTGGGTCTCACGCCGATGTAAACACGTTTTCGTTATTACGGCGTCAGGAGAGCCTGGTGTGACGAAAACATTTTAACACAATGGGCACCCACAGAACAAGGTGCTGGCAGACCAAGGGAGACAATCGGGGTGAATCAAGGATCCAGACCCATGGCTTACGGATCCACTTAGACCACTGTTTCACATCTATCCCTTTGAGTGAATGAATGATAAATGTAAATAAATGCATCAAAACCCTTTCCATACTCCTACAAATTCCTGAAATATCCAGTTCATACAAATGTAAGATACGTCTTGAAAAGAATGACTTCGTCGTCTAGACGAGAAGAAAGGGAGGTAATCACTATATTATTGATTGCAACCCGGCCGATCAACAGCCGTGGAAGGAATCTTGTTTCGTATCTTTTTATCTCTCAGACCTTTTGAATCACCCTATGATATCTAGGTGATCGAGCTCCTTGAGCTTCGGATCCCGATTTACATAAACACGAAGGTAGGTTATAGCGTGGGGTGTTTAGCGCAATGACTGTGCGTCTTCTGCCTGTAGTTGTCAGATACGAGAGCACTCTCGAAATAGTTGCATTCGCCTTTCATGTTGTTGACCTACATCAGGCTCACTGGGGGAAAATCAGTGCCAGCATGTAACGCAAAACACGACTAGCGGGGACTACAAGCAAGACATGGAGAGTTAAGGTCAAAGGTGATGTTATGGCGGTATTTGTTGACATACATGCATTTTGTACTGACCGTGGTCTTTTCTCGCGAAGTCTGAATACGCACAGATAACTCTTACTGTTAAGTTTGTAGTGAGTCAGTGAGGGAGCGTGTACGGTTTTACGCCACTTTTTGCAAAATTCCTGCAATTTCACGGCTTCACGCAACGTACCTATGTGGGGTTCGGGTCTTCTGCGTGACGAGCGAACGCTTTAACCACCAGGCTACCCCACCGCCCCTTAATTTAACGAGTGCGTGAGTGAGTATGGTTTTACGCCGCTTTTAGCAATGTTCCAGCAATATGACGGCGGGGGCACCAGAAATGGGCTTCACACATTATACCCATGTCGGGAATCGAACACGGGTCTTCGGTGTGATGAGCGAACGCTTTAACCACCAGGCTACCCCACCGCCCCTTAATTTATAAGATAAAAAGGGCAATCAGCAATCTGTGTTAAACTGACCTGAAGGGATTGGCTTTACGGCGACGATGTCTTGATGAGGATATTTTCGTCATTAATGTTTGTTTGTTGTTAACGCCGTACTCAGCAATATTCCAGCTGTATGACGTCGGTCTGTAAATAATCGAGTCTCGACCAAAAATCCAGTGATTGACATCATGGTCGTTATTAATGCATTTTTAACTACGTGTGAAAATTGTTCCAAAGTCGTTTATATCAAACCTTTTAAATATGTATAATATAAAAAATCAAAATGTTCCACTTAAGAATCTACGGGTCTCTGTGTTTTGTAGCACGAGGCGCACATTCAGATTACCCAACTAACTACACGTTTCTCACTGAAGTCTCCGCCATTGATTGTGTAGAGTTGCGCCCCCTACTCACGCCAGGATACGCTGGTGGTGAGTTCAATCCCAAATTCATTTCGCTTATGATGCAGTACTGACTTAACATTACACCACTACCGCAAGGTAATTTAATCACGTGTCTGTCTTTTCTTTGTAAAGAAACGCGCCAATACTGAAATGAGATGAGAAATCCGTCTTTCAGTGCGATATTCAGATCACGTGTACAGAAATGAAAATATTCAACTACAATCGCGATAGTGTGGAGTAGGACCACTTATCATATAATTATGAATGAGATGAGGCATTTTGCATTTGTGATAGAGCCAGACGGTCATATCACAGGCGGTGTAATAACCAGATCCGTATTACACCCCTTGCCGTGCAGATATGGCTTGTAAATCATTTTGAAAGGGCGATCGATATTCGCCCGGGTGGTAAGAAATTAGAGTTACGTCCCTCAGTGCGTCGTCTGCCCGTCTGCTCGTCCAATTTTCTCGTGAAAAACATTAGAGAACATTAAAAAGCATCTTATAAATACTAAAGGTATCCTGAATAAATATACATGAGTGAGTGAGTGAGTGAGTGAGTGAGTGAGTATGGTTTGACGCCGCTTTTACCAATATTCCAGCAATATCACGAAGGGGGACACCAGAAATAGGCTTCACACATTGTATCTTTGTCGTACAGGTACATGTCATGTGAAACTTAAAACTCAGAACTTAACACTTACAACCTAAGACGTTAAGGGTCAAAGGGAGACTACCATTCAAACCTCCTCGGCCAAACCTTGTTGATAATTTTAACTTTATATAAAGTTATTAAAGTCACGAACGTGATTAAAAAAACATGAACGCCCTTGCACATCGAAATTAATGATATTAAAACACAAAACAGTGTCGAATAACGAATTTCTGTTCCAGAAATTTAATGTGTAATATGTGTGGTGGGTGTTGAAAAACCCAAGATGGTTTTTACTGACGGTATGCGATCTCATATTAGGTCAGTATGAACCATCTTGGATTTTTACTGACGGTAGACGGGCTCATGTGGGGTCAGTACTTCTGCTCTCTGATTGGTCAATCTCACTTTGAGGCATAATAATAAGATTTCCATATGATAGCCTCTAAATATCCTTACACATCAAGACCCGTGAGGATCCGGGGTGGAATAGGTCTTCAGCAACCCACGCTTGTCGTAAAAGGCGACTAACGGGATCGGATGGTCTGGCTCGCTGACTTGGTTGATGCATGTCATCCGTCCCAATCGATGCTAATGATATCAATCACAGGATTGTCTGGTCAAGACTCGATTATTTACAGACCGCCGTCATATAGCTGGAATATTGCTGAGTGCGGCGTAAAACAACAAACAAACAAACACATCAAAGTACCCCTTGCCATCGAAATGTTTCCGGTGTCTGCACGTGGAACCGCTTAATGTTTAATGATACTTTGTCAATGAAAATTAACCATTTCAAGACATATGTTTCAATAATTGTGCACCCTTTCCAAACATGAAATGAATAATAAACATATAAAAGTGCTGAACTGACTGTAAGATTTAAAGAATGGTCAGGTCGCTGCCCTGTGGCACGGTACTGGGTAGCAAAGTGAATTGACAACAAGTTTTAATCAGATTACGGCACACAGACCTGTTCCTTTTGTCGAGTATAAGTCATATACAGACTTAAGCCTCCCTCTGAAATATTACATAGTATCTAATTTGCTAGTCATTCCTTTGCATTTGATTGGCTATGCAAGCAAATGTGTTTTTTTCGTTAAGGCTTCCACAAACCCAAACAGACCTATATGCCACGCCCACTAATGGTCTACTGTTTTTCGATTGATCGATAATAGAATGGGCGGGGATTGAGTTGCAGTATTGCGTTTAATGATGTGTTTGTGGCTTCAGATTTTTGTAGTCTTTATGATTAAATAAGCAGTCTGTGAAATTTTTTTTGTTGAAGTTTATATTTTACGGTTTATGGAGTTGAAAAGCGTCTCTTTACGTTTATACGTCATTAAACGCAACAAAAAATGATTGAAGTCATTTATTGTATGTTCCCTTTTATTTTTTTCATCAGTAAATAATTCATACTATCATGAAGCGTATCTATTTACACAATTTGAGTTAGATACTATTTTCATCAGATATCTTATCACTATCGACAATGCCCATTCACTTTTCCAGGCCCTTGTCAGGTTGAGGCTTGGTTCGTTCGTTGTGTTTGACTCCCATTGTAGTGCTTTGAGCGAGTGAGTGGTTTGATCAGATGGACATGTAAAATCGTGGACAATCAACATGAATAAATGATGTCAAAAAAAATAAAACAAAAATAAATAAATATGGACATGGATAGGGCGCGTTATAAATGTGCTTTATGTTTTATTATAATTACAATAATATTTTATACTTATGTATGCTACGGGCATTATAACACACAGATGTACGTTATCGACTGCATAGATACACCTAATTGACAACCAGGGCAGTGAGCTTTAGTTGGTAACACGCCGACGTGTTACAGCTGTAGTATTGCTGAGTGCGGGGAAAGCAGCATTCATTTACCTTTTCTTCTTTCAGAGTTGTCTCCTTTGTAGCAAGGCGGACAATGTCCTGCACGTGGCGCGACTGCACGGACAACGGCGGCGAGAAGATCAAGGTTGAGTGTTTTGATGGCCTTCTGTTCCCGCCAAAACCCATCGACGTCACGTCCGAGAAACAGTGTCACGATATCCGGGACTTGGAGGTCAGAGAGGACGATGTCTTCGTACTGTCCTACCCCAAATCAGGTTATTAATTAGCTTTATCTTACCTTACACGCGAATATCGGATTCCGAGACCCATTCTATAATTATAATTGCGCGCTAACATGGAAGGTGTACTCGATATGGCGAAATGCAAGTACAGTAAACTACGGTTATAACGAACACGCTTATAACGAACTTACGGATATAACGAACTTACTTTTTTGGTCCTGACTATTTGCTGTAGTTATGCTGTATATATGCATATAACGAACTACGGTTATAACGAACTAAAATTAGTAGTCCCTTTGAGTTCGTTATAACCGTACTTTACTGTATTACATTTGCAACATACCAACCGCAATTGTACATCTCGAATTAATCATGTAAGACGTCATTTTCCGGATACTTACGATATTTTCCAAATGAAATGTATCTAGAGGGGAATAACTCCTAAGTTTGTTTTCTGTCGACTGCAGTTTTTCGATCGATTAGAAAACGAAGGAAGTTGATGAATGCTTAACTATGCTATTCTTACCGATTCTGAACAAAGTATGCACAAGACTTACCTGCAATATAATTTGGTGTGTCGTAAGATAAACTCTAATGACATGGAAATGCCTGCTTGGTCTAGTGGTAAAGCGTCTGCCAGACGTCGGTGGTTCGATCAACAGCCGCGTCATACCCATCTTCCCGAGGCAAGTGAGTTAACTGACTATAAAAGTCCAGTTTCCACCCTTGCCGAACTAGGCTGGTATTATGGAGTTACATTTTGGCTGGGCTAACGAGTCTATGCATAGTCCAATCAAAATCGCGCACCGAAATCGGAATCCGGTTCGTAAAGTGTCATGCAGATTTCGGTCGACTGCAGGACTTGCAAAGCATGTGCGCCGCTAACTCGTTGTCAACAGATATTTTCTAAATCTTTTCATGTTTTTAATCAAGGTGCTCACGTGATTTGATGCACTTGGCGATGTAAGAATCGTTTTATCACAATATAGATCTTGATTATCGATCAGATCGTCTTGACTGGGCGCCACCGTTTTGTTTGAAGCAAATGCAAGTGATACGAGAGGTTGAATCTGATTGGTCAGTAGGAGAGGCATAGAAAGGACATAACTCGTAATAGCCACTGGATGCGCTACGATCGAGCCCAGGAATTTCAGCCTAGTTCGGCAAGGGTGGAAACTGGACTTTTAAAGTCAGTTAACTCTCTTGCCTCGGGAAGATGCGTCATACCAACCAGGCGCTTTACATAAAGGGCTTGAAATAAGGACTATTCGGCTCGTATCAGTATATTGTGTCTGAGTGAGGTATTCATGTAAAACTGCGGCATGGTATCTCAGTGGACTAGAAATGTAAAATCGGTGGCATTAGTCCGGACAAGCACAAGTAGCCACGCACTCACGCGCGCGTCGCTATATAAGTGCTATAATCTTGGACGCGACGAAAATGGGGTGTATGTACCGTCAATGTTAGTCAAGTTTCCCTGCAGGGGAGGAGCCCCAACACAAACTTGATCACCATAGGACACGGTATAATGAGGCACTGTAGGCATAGTATGAGAACTGAGATAAATATGTAGCTATCGTTATGTATTTGTTTTAAAGTGAAGGTAATACGGCTTTTCCTTTGGACGAGAAACTGAAACATTTCTGGAGAAACCCAGGGGAATTCCCTCGCACAAATAAATACAGCATCGTTTCTCATCATTTAGACCCTTTGATCTTGAACTTAGCGTTTTAGTATACATTGGGATATGTCAGAGAATTTGATTGCATGCCCCTTCAAAGATATTCACACTACAACCCATCCTTGAGACGAAAACGAAGAAATCCAATTCATCGTAGTATCTGGACTACAGTGACAGTTTACAGCAATCAATACAACTTCGGATATCTGCCCCGTCACGTTTTTTGTGTTGACCATTTGGAGTCTTGTGCTTGATATAAATGTGTCATTGTGATTAACTTACTGAAGTAGTTCTTAACAGACCTTTCTCATCTTATGAGGATATTTTTTGAATACATTTATTGTTCAGAAACTACAAAAGTCCCTGTAGAGCATATTGTGCATATATACTCTGATGCCTCTCGTTTTGAGGAACTATTTTATTCTGCGATACAGCTGGTTGTTGTGTGGCTGTCAGTGTAAACATGAAGTCACTCATGCTAGGCCTAAATATAATTGTGTATAGATCTTGGTCTACATCCTCTGAGGTAATAAATAGTGATATAAAAATTATAAGAAATGACTTTCACTTTGTGTGAGCTTATTGGAGTATAAACCTTCATAGAATGAGGGCCAAACAAGCAAGGTCCGACTTTCATACAATTTGGAACTCATTCTATGAAGGTTCATACTCAATTCTACCATGACAATGAAGAATGCTTGATTCTGACTGGACTACATCAAATTTCAAAACACAGTAGGTTTATCTCCTAAATGAACTCACACAAAGTGAAAGTCAATTATTAAGAATCTTCGTAAGTTATCAGATATGATCCTACGATTGAATATTTGACTTTGTTTGTTTCAACAACTGTGGCTGTAAATGTAAATGTGTCAAAAAAGGATGAAAAGGTTTTCAATATTTGAATATCAGCAAGTTGTAAGTGATATGAACATGTGCAATAATTTTGATGATGAGTTTAGAATAGAACAGAACAGAACTTTATTACGCCCAAGGCTACAAAAAGTAGCATGTTGAGGTTTAACAGGAGATGTGACGTATAATAGTGATGGCAGCTTTAATAGTTATTTAAATGTAGCCATTACTATTTTACAATATTTTGATAATTTTTTCAAGAAGATATTATTTTTACAATGAAACATCTGTTGAAGTTTAAACATAGATGGATGTACAATAAGAGTCTTTGGTATGTATATGTCTTACTTCTTTAAAATATTCACATTTAAAAATATAATGATATTCATCCGCAATGTCTTGGCTTTTACAAACAGTACACTTTCTATCTAATAACCAAGGCTTACTCCCCTCTCGTAAATATAACACGTCCTAAGGATCATACAGGGTAGTGAGAAAAACTCAATGACCATGATACACCCCAGTGATGTAAGCACCAAACACAACCTTTGGATTCGTCATTAGTCGGTAACAGGTGTTTGCATGATTGTCTGTATGATAAGCCGTACATTTGTCAAATATGCATCAGTAACATAATATACATACATTCTAGTCACACCATTCCACCTTGACACTGAAAAATGCTTGATTCTGATTGGTGAAAATAAGACTAAAATCAGATATCTAACTCCTTTTGACACTTCAAAATCAACATCCCCTTTCTTAAAAAAATACCATGATAGGAAAACATCCGTTAGTCCACAATGCCTGTTTTTTAAACCCTTATCAGTCGTGATGAAATCTATTAAAGAACACGCACAATTAAGTGTAACACACGCTGACCACTGTGTAAGGGCCACATTCATCGGCAACAAAAATGAGCAATCTCTCAGAGATGACCAGTCTCCTGTCGTACATACCCGCCTCGTCTTCAGCTAAAAACGGCGGTCTTCAGACATAAGAGACTTTCCGTTGGCAATGGATGTCCAAGAAGTCTCGTTTACTTAATCGTGAACTCAGGTAATATTTATGCTTGTCACTGCTTATGTCCCCCTTTCGGCAGGTTCTTAGATAACCGAGTTAGTTGCCAATGTGAATGTTCGCGCTCCGTTGTCAAAGCGCTCTTGTGGTCATTATAGAATCGAGAGTGTTTGATACCTCTTATTTATGGGCTTAAGCGCTCGGTTACAAATTGAAATAAGAATATCTAATCTTCAGTATCTCACATGTCAAAACACAGTTGGTTTATCTTATTGTAAGGACAGATGATAGTTATCCTGGTTCAGTTACGCAGCACTTACCTGTGCAGAGTTGCGCCCCTTTAAGGATCAGCATGTCTTGCGTTCCATTCCAAGATTCCCATTAGCACTATGCCTGATTATTCAAACTAGAAAATTGTTTCAAATACTTGTCATGACTTACCCTAAACCACGGAAACCTAAGTAACCTCAGTGACCTGAGAGACTGGTTGGCCCACTGGTCTAAGACCAGGAGTTCACAGTTGCGTCCCTTGCTCGCCCCGATTATGATCTTTGGTTTTTTAGCATCATGGCGTAAGACCTGAATCACTTCGAGCTTTCCTCCCACATTGACATGCCGTGATACAAGTGAATGGCGTATAAATCCAAGTCACTTTTCCTAGGGTAGTTCCCGTACGGAGTTGCGTTCCTTAGGCCTGCCAGAATCATTGATGCCAACCCGGAATCGCCCTGATTATGTTTCTAGTTTTCAGCACCATGCCAGTCTCGTGGATTTCATTAAAGTGGTATACAGCTAAGACCTCCTCCCACATTAGGGGGCACGGGTGGCCCTGTCGTCTAAGGCGCCGCGATTCGCTGGTCAGAGTTGCGTCCCTTGGTCGCGCCAGAAACCTATGTTAAACAAGAGTCACTCACTCACTCACTCACTCACTCACTCCTTCCACATTATGCTGACACACCGTGATACAACTGATATACTGTTCAAAGCGGCGTTAAACCCAAGTTACTCACTCACTCCTTCCACATTATGCTGACACGCCGTGATACAACTGATATACTGTTCAAAGCGGCGTTAAACCCAAGTTACTCACTCACTCCTTCCACATTATGCTGACACACCGTGATACAACTGATATACTGTTCAAAGCGGCGTTAAACCCAAGTTACTCACTCACTCACTCACTCCTTCCACATTATGCTGACACACCGTGATACAACTGATATACTGTTCAAAGCGGCGTTAAACCCAAGTCACTCACTCACTCACTCACTCACTCCACATTATGCTGACACACCGTGATACAACTGATATACTGTTCAAAGCGGCGTTAAACCCAAGTTACTCACTCACTCACTCACTCCTTCCACATTGTGCTGACACACCGTGATACAACTGATATACTGTTCAAAGCGGCGTTAAACCCAAGTCACTCACTCACTCACTCACTCACTCCACATTATGCTGACACACCGTGATACAACTGATATACTGTTCAAAGCGGCGTTAAACCCAAGTCACTCACTCACTCACTCACTCACTCCACATTATGCTGACACACCGTGATACAACTGATATACTGTTCAAAGCGGCGTTAAACCCAAGTTACTCACTCACTCACTCATTCACTCCACATTATGCTGACACACCGTGATACAACTGATATACTGTTCAAAGCGGCGTTTAACCCAAGTCACTCACTCACTCACTCATTCACTCCACATTATGCTGACACGCCGTGATACAACTGATATACTGTTCAAAGCGGCGTTAAACCCAAGTCACTCACTCACTCACTCACTCACTCCACATTATGCTGACACACCGTGATACAACTGATATACTGTTCAAAGCGGCGTTAAACCCAAGTTACTCACTCACTCACTCATTCACTCCACATTATGCTGACACGCCGTGATACAACTGATATACTGTTCAAAGCGGCGTTAAACCCAAGTCACTCACTCACTCACTCACTCACTCCACATTATGCTGACACACCGTGATACAACTGATATACTGTTCAAAGCGGCGTTAAACCCAAGTTACTCACTCACTCACTCATTCACTCCACATTATGCTGACACACCGTGATACAACTGATATACTGTTCAAAGCGGCGTTTAACCCAAGTCACTCACTCACTCACTCATTCACTCCACATTATGCTGACACACCGTGATACAACTGATATACTGTTCAAAGCGGCGTTAAACCCGTGTCACTCACTCACTCACTCACTCCTTCCACATTATGCTGACACACCGTGATACAACTGATATACTGTTCAAAGCGGCGTTAAACCCGTGTCACTCACTCACTCACTCCAGATTATGCTGACACACCGTGATACAACCGATATACTGTTCAAAGCGGCGTTAAACCCGTGTCACTCACTCCTTCCACATTATGCTGACACGCCGTGATACAACTGATATACTGTTCAAAGCGGCGTTTAACCCGTGTCACTCACTCACTCACTCCACATTATGCTGACACACCGTGATACAACTGATATACTGTTCAAAGCGGCGTTAAACCCGTGTCACTCACTCCTTCCACATTATGCTGACACGCCGTGATACAACTGATATACTGTTCAAAGCGGCGTTAAACCCGTGTCACTCACTCCTTCCACATTATGCTGACACGCCGTGATACAACTGATATACTGTTCAAAGCGGCGTTTAACCCGTGTCACTCACTCACTCACTCACTCACTCCACATTATGCTGACACACCGTGATACAACTGATATACTGTTCAAAGCGGCGTTAAACCCGTGTCACTCACTCACTCACTCCACATTATGCTGACACACCGTGATACAACTGATATACTGTTCAAAGCGGCGTTTAACCCGTGTCACTCACTCACTCACTCACTCACTCCACATTATGCTGACACACCGTGATACAACTGATATACTGTTCAAAGCGGCGTTAAACCCGTGTCACTCACTCCTTCCACATTATGCTGACACACCGTGATACAACTGATATACTGTTCAAAGCGGCGTTAAACCCGTGTCACTCACATTTCTCTCCGTGGTTCTAGGGACTCACTGGACGTGGGAGGTGACACAGATGCTTGTAGCTGAAACATCCGAGTACCGCAAAGAAAGAATGCCAGTTTTTGTTCTGGATATAACGTCCAAGGCGGACCTGGACGCTATGACGTCTCCCAGGGTGTTCGCGACTCACTTCCGCTTCCGGTACTTCCCACAACAGGTGCTCAAGAAGGGAAACAAAGTTGTCATGGTTCACAGGAATCCTAAGGACGTCGCCGTGTCAACTTATGGGATGTACACGGGGACAAAGAGCATGGCCATGTACGACGGCAAGTGGGACGACTACTTCGACATGTGGTTGAGCGGGGACGGTAATGTAGGAGCGAAATATCTTGATGTAAATGTTTTATGGATGTAAATGGATTTGTTTTAATTATTTTTTATTAGAAAATACTAACATAAGATGTTGGGAATACTGAACATTGTTCGGTTTAACCAGATTGTATTATTTGAGTGAGTCGGGGTTTTCACCCCTTTTAGCAATATTCCAGCAATATCACTGAGGGTTACACTGGAAAGGGGCTTCACCCATTGTATCCATGTTGGGAATGGTGTGACGAGCGAACGCTTTAACCACAAGGCTACCCCATCGCCATTGTATGTTTGGAAGCAGTGGCCGAGACATATTGAACAATGTCGGTGCGCTTGTTGGGCATGGGTGACTAAGGCATAATGCGTGGCATTTCGCTGTTCAGATTTGACAGATTATTATGGTCGTGGGTTCGAATCCCATATTCGTTCTGATGAGGTTTGGTTAGTCAGCAACCTGCCTATGCTTATAGGTTTCACCAAAGTGGTGAGCTTCTAAAATCTGGATCACGATGGCTGTTTCTCCCTATTAAGGCTGACATGCAGTCATATAATAAAATATAGATAGGTCTTCAGCAAGCCATGCTTGCCGTAAAAAGCGACTTTGCTTGTCGTAAGCGGCGACTAACGGGGTCGGGTGGTCAGGCTCGCTGACTTGGTTGATGTATGTAATCACATCCCAATTGCGTGGATCGATGTTCATGATGTCAATCACTGGATTGTCTGGTCCAGGCTCGATTATTTACAGACCGCTGTCATATAGCTGGAATACTGCTACGTGCGGCGTTAAACAACAAACAAACAAACAAACACTCAGTCACTCACTCACTCCAGACTGTAAACGTTCTAGTGCCCTACAACTCATGGTTCGACTTTGAGCTGGAGTGGCAGAAGGAGTTGGGAGAACACCCAGAGATGAACGTGCATCACGTGCATTATGAAAAAATGAAGAAGGTACAGTACATTGTAGCATTATAGATCAACTCAATATGCACAGTGACAGGAATCACATTACATCGATTGTCGAAATATCAAACAATTCTTGAGTGAATATTCCTCACTGCTTCATTAGCAAGTTTGATAAGATAAAAGCCAAAACCTCAGGTCAGAATATTAACGGTTGTTCAGCCAACCCTAACTAGTGAGAAAGTGTATGCAGTGACACCTCGTTAATCCGGACAAGTAAGGAACAGGTAAGGCTACACATCTTTCACTGTTCGTTTCAAGGGCCAGCCACCCCCACTGAAAAACAGCCGGTCCAAAAAATAAACTAAACATAAAAATATTTATTTTTAATATGTCTCACGCTCCTAATATAGACCATCTTATACAGTGGAAAATGTTATATATAAATTCCATGTCTACATCACTATCAGTGATTCGAGAAGCCAGCTGCAGTTTTAACTCCACGGCAGAATGACTTTCAAATAAATGAATGAATGAATGAATGAATGAATGAATGAATGAATCAATGAATGAATGAATCAATCAATCAATCAATCAATCAATCAATCAATCAATAAATAAATAAATAAATAAATTTCGACCGACTTTGTGTGGAAAAGCTTGAATATATCCGTGAAACATAAAACAACATATCCGAAGCCATTACTTCTTAGTGGTGTTATTTCCTGCTGCCGGGTGGAGATGGTGCTATCAGTTATCAGTGCATTTGTAAACGTTTCAGGACCCCGTCGAGTGTGTTAAAGGCATAGCCTCGTTCCTGGGTCGTGACGTCAGTGACGAGACATGCGCGGACATCGCAGAAGCTTGTGGGTTCCAGAAGCTCCGCCAAGCGTACAGCGACTTCAAGGGCGATAAGTTGAAGGGGGCCTGGAAGGACGGCACGGGGATTTTCAGAAAAGGTGACACACAGTCTCAACTGCTAACACGCTTCCATTGAAACAATGTGTGAAGCAAGGGGAGTTTCTACGGGGATTTCAACATGCGAACTCATTTAGGGCATTCGATACCTATTTAAATCTAACCCTCTAAACCTCGACTCGTTTTTCACAGTAATACGTTTTTGTTATTTATGTGTCTATATCTACGGTTAACCATTATGGTATGTCTGGTTATAGAAGGAATGCTCTCAAATCTCATCGCACCGGCATATAAAGTAGGGTTTTAAAACCATCAGCATGGCTGTCTCTCCGTCCGTCCGGTTCTTCCTCCGGATCAGGGTCCACTTGCACAAAGCAATCTTAGCGCTACAATTATTGTAAATCCTTAAGATCGCGATCTCAGGCTTCGGCTACAATCGTCATCCACTTGCACAAAGCGATTGTAGGCTAAGATCATTGTAAGCTACAATCGAAACTTACAATTGGTCCGGACCAATCTTAAGTAGCTAAGATCGTTGTAGTCCCTGAATAAACTTGACAAAATGGCGTGCAAGGCTTAGTCTGTTTCACATAAATAATCTGCTTTACGTTCAAACATTGCCTCTCTTTTTTTCTAAACTTTATCATTCGAATCGACACTTTAACAACATGAAGAACGCACCACAGATTTAACGTCAGCAATATCGTTAATTACTATAGTTAAATACGTAACTATCGAGTCGATAGCTAAAAGGAATATTCCCATCCGACTCAATACTGAAAGAAATGTGAAACAACATACCTTTTCGCTAAACAAGGGAAGGATAAAAACCTAAGTCGTCCCGCAAGCGATTTGCAACGTCCGTGACCTTTTCGATAAATCAAGGGCAGCTAATCTTAGTTTATACTCTAGATGGGAGTGGTTTCCCTTTGTATAAGCCCGTAGAGTACAATCTACCTTACCCAGTGTATCAATGTTGTTGAATCGCTGAGCTTCCCCTATATATTTTTTGGGTCATATTCGTGTCAGTTATTTTGTCTTTAGTTTATCATGAAATTAATCTACAAATAAGTACAAGCTGAAGAGCAAATCATACATGTTTAAATCTAAAATCAAATGGGACGGGGACGAGCGGTTAATCAGAGATTAAAAGAAAAAAATACAAGTATTCATCAAACAAGCAAATATACATGATGAAACATTTGATTTTTTTTGCAAAATATCCCATAAATAGCAAAAATAAAATTCACATTTTAAAATATTTTTTTTTTTAAATTGATACCTAGGGAATATATATTAACAATTGCTTTCTCGAAACATTACTCATTATTCTTATTTCCCGTCTATGCGTTTTTGAAAGTTCCCGTCTTTCTGTGTTTTGAAATGGTAGTCATAACATCCTTTGTTGTAGCAACGAAACGAAAACATGAAGGATATATTTAGGATTTTACGAAAAACTCCCCCAAATAGATGACGATCATGCATTTACACGTTGGGTTTTAGGAAATATTATTATTATTTATTTTAATTTTCATAATAATTGTGTTACTAAATAATGTATTTATTCGCATTTCAATACTTTAAATCAAAACATGAGTAGGTATTTCTATTGTTGAATTAGAAAACAATTCCTAAATCACGACAGTATTAATGCCGACAAGAATATATGCCTTCATTCTAGTAATCGTTTCCTTCAAATAATTGGGAAAAGTGCGATGGAGGGAGGTACGTGTTGCGTGTCGTTACCGGTTCCACTTATTGTATGCGCAGCAAACTATGCCCGTTTGCAGACAACTATAGACAGGAGTCGAGTTTAAAATATTCGTACCTCCACAGTTGAAGATTTCAATCTTAGCTAAGATCGCGATCTTAACTCCAAGCCGTCTTACAATCGCGCTAAGATCGGTTTGTGCAAGTGGAATAGGACAATTGTATGGTGATTGTAAAGTTGATTGTAGCCGCCTAAGATCGATTGTAACTAAGATTGTTCTGTGCAAGTGGGCCCAGGACCTGTTTCATTTTCGAGACGTCTACACACCTACATTGAATGGTTAACTTTCACTGAGCAAATATCCTAAAACGTGAAAAACTATTTGAATTTGCGTTGTTATCCTTTGTTGACATTGGCTGTACGGCTCCACGTGCTGTCATGGAAGTCCAAGAGAGAGCTAGCGTTCCGGTCACTTTGGTGTTTAAATATATATTGTCACGCACCTCACTGTCGCACTTGCAGTAGCATATCTATATAATTATGCAAAACAATATGTAAAGCTCCCCAAAAAGCTTGTATTAGGCCAATCTGTTCTGATATCGGAATAAGCGCGTTTATTTACGAAAAAAACGGAGAAAGTCCGGTCACGTGATATGCATATTAGCCTGTGGCAGTGGTGCTATATGAAGTCACCATTGCGCCGGAGTGTGTGTACCTGTATATACCTGTCGGTCATAACGATATACTCTCGACGTCAACGCTCCATCGTATCTATATACCTCTCGGTCGTAACGTTATACTCTCGACGTCAACATCCTTGTTGAATACACCTGTCGGTCGTAGCGTTATGCTCTCGACATTCACCGCTCCATTGTATATACCTGTCGGTCGTAACGTTATACTCTCGACGTCAACGCCTCTTTGAATATATCTGTCGGTCGTAACGTTATACTCTCAATCCCATCGCTTCTTTTATGTACGGTGCACGGGTGGCCCAGTCGTCTAAGTCGCCGCAATACGCTGTGCAAAGTTGCGTCCCCTGGGCACACCTCAAACCTATGATTGTGGGTTCGAATCCCGGTTGGCCCCGATTATGTTTCAAGGTTTGTCAGCTCCATTCCCGTGCTCGTGGGTTTCACCGAAGTGGTAAACGTGTAAGACCTGCATCACTTCAGGCTTTCCTCCCACATTAGGCTGACACGCCGTGATATAACTGGAATACTGTTAAAAGCGGCGTTAAACACAACTCACTCACTCTTTCATATACCCACATTTTCTGTGTTATCGAACCATAGTTTGGTGTGTTAGATTAACAGATCAGAACATACAGTCATATTGAACAAACGGACGCCACAGCTCAGTGTCACACCACCCTTGTGATGTTTTTGAGAACTGAACTAACCAGTTAATGGTATTAAACACACTGCAGTTTTGAAACAGTGTGGATGGTAATGAGGAAAGGTAATGGATATATTATTAGACACGTGTAGGATATCGTTATGTTCCACAGGCGAGGTCGGGGACTGGAAGAACTGGTTCACGGTGTCCCAGAGTGAGAGGCTAGACCAGGAATTCACGGATAGGATGGGAGCCAGTAGGTGGACGTATAGCTTCACCATGTGACCCCTCTCTATCAGCTGTGTATGAAGAACGGGTCAGTGGTTACAATTAATAATGGTGTGAGACTCATAACTTTCCGATATTTGCACATTTTTGCGATTCCCAGTACTTACTGACCGTTGAAGCGATATGAACTTAACACGTCATCCGTTGTTCATGATGTCATAAATTGATAACTATTCTGAATAAATCAATGGACCGACTTCCATCATGTGTCTCAATAGAATTGATTTTTTTATATCTTGATGACTTACTCGAAAGGGATGACGGATTATCTATCCGTCGGTCTCTCACAATTCTTTCACTCGGGTCAGGGTAATTCATCGTAGCTTTTTTATTTTCTTATTTCCCCAGGGAGTCAGCATCAATGACCGGTCCCCCATCCCTAACAGTTGTGAATTGCGGGTTGATGACTGTACAAGGTGTATTGAGTCGTGGTCAGATGCTTGTAGTCAAGGGACGCTTTTGCCTTGTTAGAGTTGTCTAGTCAAGACATGTAATCGGAACAGTTTCTCAGTAATATCACTACGTTTTCCACAATGGGGAATCCACGAGCACGGTTATATTTGTGCCCCCCCCCCCCCCCCCCCAAAAAAAAAAGAAAAAGAAAAAGAAAAAGAATCATAATCAGAGTAAAAACATTATATCCCAAGTTCTCGGGCTGTTAACTCCATTTATCAATTTATCATAAAACAAAATGGTTTTCACGGGAGACGTGGCGTGGTTGAGAACACATGCTGTCTCCTAAGAGATATCGCTACAATGAAATTTCATCACACTGCTTTGCAGACCATTGTGACATCATCGGTTACCATGACGTCATTATCAAATGTCATCACTAATCCCTCTTCCACTGAACCTGTTCAGCTGTACGTTTTACACCCAAGAAACTGGTTATTACTCTTTACAAACTGAAAAGTGGGAAGAATGATTTGGATGATAAATAGATTCTCACCCCCGTGTCTTCTCAGATCAAATATATCAAGACCCGTGGATAAAAGTCCAAATATCCTGAAATATTACGATTCCGCGAAAACATGCGATTCGTAAGACAAGCAGAAGTTGCCACTATACGATTATCTCAAAAACATATTTAAATTCGCACTGAATAAATGTATTTTGCGATTCATCGAAGTGAAAGTCAAATGACAGAGTGTTGGAGCATTGTAAAAGTCTTTATTTTTTTTAATCAGAACTTTTAATCGGATTCACGTGGTCTAGATTACTGTTTATAGTCTTATAAAAAGTATTCGTACCTTATCTTTATCGAAAATTACGACATACTGGATAAAACGTTGTATTATCCTAATTAAATCTACCTGTTGTAAGTACGCATTTAACAAATGTGTACCTTATCTTGTTAGACTTGAATTTGTATGAATGTTTAGACGTGAAGTATTTTAATTTTGATATTTGTAAATGACATCATAGATATATAATATAGTGTAGAGGATTAGGGAAATCAATTCGACGGTGTTGGATCGCTGTAGCATACATGTATTGGAACAAGACGTCTCGTATCTTTTGAGTTATGTATGTGTTGATGTTAATCCTTCATGTAAACGCGGTGTTGTAACGCTGCTATTTTGATTCAAGCGCTAACGGTTGTGTGATCATTAATATGCCTTGTCTTAATGGCTGTATGTCTAAGTGGTTTATTGTCCCATTGAAGACTGTTTATCTCTGCAGCTTACCAAGGTGAAAGTCTACCTTTTTAACAGGGTGTTGAAGCATTGCAAACTGACGGTGAAATGTCAAAATATGCCGGCGAACAAATGCTCTGAAATGCAAAATCGCTGAATATATCTGACGAGATGTCCTTACAAAGTTTCGACTCATACCGCTCACAAACACTACTGTTCAGACACTCCAGGTGAGTGAGTGAGTGAGTGAGTGAGTGAGTGAGTGAGTGAGTGAGTGAATGAGTGAGTGAGTGAGTGAGTGAGTGAGTGAGTGAGTGAGTGAGTGAGTGAGTGAAAGTTGCCTAAAGTCACAATCAGCAATATTTCTCCTACATCACGGCGGCTTTGTTGATTTTGTTGTTGTTTATGCCGCACTCAGCAATATTTCAGCTGTATGACGTCGATCTGTAAACAGACAAGACAATCTACCGATTGATATCATGAGCATCGATCTACGCAATTGGGATACGATTACGTGCAATCAACAAAGACACCAAGCCTGACAACCCGATCCATTTCGTCGCCTCGTACGACAAACATAGGTTGCTGGGGATCTATAGTCCTGTCAAAAGGGCACGTTGAGATGTAATCAGCCAGGACACCGAATTTGACTACCCTCTTCAGTCGCTCTTGGATGTTGGGACTGCTCTACCCTGCAGCGGTACCTGCATATATATTGTCATGTACCCCTTGTGTGAGACGCGCTGTGTTTGTAAGCTACTTGTAATTGTAACGAACTAAAGATTTGGAAGAACCAATCTAGATGTCCGAAAAGATGCACGTGAGTCAGTGAGTGCCGATTTGCGACAGGAAACAGCAATATTATTATAGCTATGTATCATCGGATCCTGGATATCGATGATCCCTGTTAGAATAGGTCTTCAGCAACTTCTGCTTGTCTTACGAATCGACTAACAGGATCGGGTGATGCATGTCATCGTATCCCCATTGCTAAGATCGATGCTCATGATATTAACCACTGGATTGTCTGGTCCAGGCTCGATTGAATACAGACCCCCGTCTGTATTGCTGCGTGCGGCGTTAAACCACAAACAAACAAACAAACAAACAAACAATGTAACGTCGACCCTTGAACAAAGAAGCCTTGTTGAAAGACCCATCCGTTGCATTCCAATTATTTTGTAAGATGGGTCTATTCTGCCCTGAAAAGTGTGTTCATCGTTAAATTATCTAAAAAAAACGAAGTTATCACATTTACAATAATTTATTTTCAAATTTGGTTTAAATATCATGTTCAACAATTATGACCATATCATAGTGCTCTCTCAAGCGTATTGTTCTCAACAATTAAGCACCGTGGCGTCATATCGCTTCATCAACTTACACATCAACATTGAGAATCACTAAAATGCATTTGTGATTATATCTCAACATTTAGGTGTAATGTCCTCCTCTCCCATGGCGTCTTGATACTCCAACACTGCATCGACGTCAAAGTGTATGTTTTAACAATTAAGCAGTGTGGCTTCATCAACTCACCAATCAACATTGAGAATCACTAAAATGTATTTGTGATTATATCAGAAAGTTTTGTCACACGATATCTCAACATTTAAGTGTAATGTCCTCCTCTCTTGCGTCTTGATACTCCAACACTGCGTCGATGTAGTCCACAGCCAGTTTCCCTGCCCAGGATTCAAGCTTGTAGTTCTCAATGAATCCACAGTGACCACCCTTCTCTGTCGTCAACAACATCCAGTTAGGCCGCTGGAAATGATCATAGGGTATGTTGCCAGCAACACAGATCGGATCGTCCAGACTGTTGATACACAACACAGGGGAGACAACTGAATCAACGTTAGCCATTGGGTCGTTGTGCAGCCACATGTCATCAACGTCCTTGAACCCATGCATCTTGAAGTAAAGGTGACCCTCCATTTCCTCTATAGACTTTGAATTGTAAACAGCTTGGATGTCCACAACTGGCTTCAGAATATGTTCGTTCGGTTTAACCAAAGACGTTTTCACCAAATGAAGTATCAATTTCTCATATATGGTACTCATGCCCTCGATTTCTGATAGATCGAATCCCGACCCAATGAATACAGAGGGGCCGATGTACGACCTCCCAGCGTACTCACCCATATACCTACTCAGTATAGCCGTTCCTGCGGAGTAAGCAACACCAGCCATGGCAGCATTAGGGAACTTTCGGTGAATATGCTCCACACAGTAGCGAAAGTCAATTGTTTCCCCAAAGCACTGGAGACGCGGTGTTGTGAGTAAGGAACCACTATGGCCGCGCCTGTTGAACACTGCAACTCTGAATCTCCCGGCCGCCATCTTGCACACTTTGTTGATACCCTCCTTCCCTCCCCCCACCCCCGGAATTACGACCAACACGGGACTTGTGTCCGTCAGACACGCCTCGTTGTCCAACCAGTCTAGAGAAGCGAGACCACCGTCCGGTAAATGTACGTTTTCTCTCTTGTAGTTCAGAGGTGAGAGCTCAAGGCAACAGATAATTGTATGTACATGTCTATTGCCGAGTCCCAACGGCGGGATGTAAGGTTCTTTCAGCCGTGGTACTTTATTTATAATGTACTCGTGGAGTTTGGAATCACCATAGAACAGCTTCGGTGTAGACTTCCTTCGTCGGAACCAACTGTGATAGATGTAGATGGCAAGACAACTGACGCAAATAACCACAAATATCATCTCGACCCTTGCGAGAGAAACAGACCCGATGTGGAATATATTGCCGACTGTCTAACTTTGCGGCGCTTCCCAATGCTTATAAAGTAACGCTTCGGTGGCGTCGGCGTCAACACTAATTTAATGGTAATTGATCAGTCTCCACTATGAATAACAGACGTGGCCACACATGGAGAAATGTGGGCTGGTGATAATTGATATGTACCTGCGAAGAACAATGTTTACGTTAGCAATGGTTGCACGCCTGCGCAAAGTCATTGTATTGTGCGGATATAATGTCAGTAACAATTTGCCAATAACTTTGTAATTAACTTTAAATTATGACAGTAAAAGAAAAATGTAATTTGAACCTCAATTTTATGCTGGTTGGAAAAGTTCTGGGGTCCGTTCAACACAACAATCGTAGCTCTAACGTGACCATAACTTCCATTTTTAACAAAGACTAACGACCATGTACATGTCAATCGATAGATTCCACTTAAAGCAAATGATGTTGAACATTGCCAATTACACATCTGATGAATGATGGAAAAGTATTTATTTCGAGTATAGTAATGACATTCCGTATCAACTCTCAAACTGAACCGGTTTCGAGAAATGAATGCTAACCAGATGTTTCAGCGGGGTTTTTTTTACGTAACATTTCGCCACATCTGTCGTCCAAAATGAAGGAACTATTTCGGTTTTAGCAATGTGGTCCAAATATAAGTTTTTGACACTGATAAGATGCGGCTTGAGTTTGATGCTCTGCACAAATACCGATTTGATTTATTTCTATTAATAATGATCTGTATATGGGTGAGTGAGTGCGTTATTTACAATCGTATTTTGCCAACATCATGACTTGTTGGCTTCATGAGAAATCATACAACGGGGATGGGTCCCAGTCGTTTACCAATCGCTGCGCATGGATCTGGGTCTGAAACTCCGAACTCCCGAACTCCGTGAATCGACTGCCCCCTGCGACTCCCACCGCGTCAGCTATACAAATACATGTACGTGTACAAAATGCCAAAATATTTCAGTCTTTTTACAATTATTGTTCTATTTCTTATATTATGATAACGAACAAAAAAGGTTGTTATGCTCTAATTCACCACCCAGTGGCTGACAATGATAGGATTAAAAGTAAACGAAAGTCAGTATATTTTTTGTATTTTTTTACTTCAATCTAAGCGTGGGGCGGTCGGGTAGCCTAGTGGTTAAAGCGTTCGCTCGTCACGTCGAAGACCCGGGTTCGATTCCCGACATGGGTACAATGTGTGAAGCCCATTTCTGGTATCCCCCGCCGTGATATTGCTGGAAAATTACTAAAAGCGGCGTAAGACCATACTCACTTACTCAGTCTAGGCGTACGTAATTAGACCATTGTGATGCCATTTTGAAGTTCTCAAGAACTTTTAGTCTATCTGACGGATCAATAATTGTAAAATGACCAAAATATTTTGGCATTTTGTGAAGTGAATTTTTCAGGTATTTTAAACATTGACTGATTTTACACATGCACTCTAACATACAGTTGTTCCAGGGTTTAATACAAGATACAATAACTACTGGGTAACCGTAATAGTGCTGCAACCTGTTTGGACGCAATCAGTTCAATATCGAAAGAATTACAAACACATGGGAACAGTGGACAGTTGACAGCAATGTGCATAAAGGTGTGTGTATGTGTGTGTGTTACCGAATCACGCAAAGATGTCAGATCTTATCTACATTAGCATTTAAAAAGAAACATACAAAGTAAATATCATAAACTAAGATAGTTAACAATACAAGTGTTCATACACACGGTATCAGGAGAGGAGCTGTATAGACGCATTGTACACTCGAACAAAAAAGTTTCAGTTTAGTTTGACACAGTTTCCAGCAAAGACGAAAGCGTGATGGATATTATGAGCTATGTCCCATGCCATTTTCGGATGATGTTTTGTTTGTTGTTTTGCGCCGCACTCAGCGAGCGAGCCTGACCACCCAACTCAGACTAAGTATACTGACTCCGAGCCGACCAGTCCTTGTTTTAGCCCCTTAATGCCGAGTGCCAGACAGGGTAACAACAAGTACGATCTTTTAACGTATTTTGGTATGACGCGGGCGGACGATCTACCACTAGAGGTTGGTACACGTAGGTGGTCTACATGAAAAAATATAAAATGTGGAGGTGAGTAATGTCAAATATGCTTTCGCCGGATATTGAGACATTCTGCGTGCTTACACGGGGGAAATTTGCGAAGTAAGTGGATGTGTGGTTTTAAATAGGAGAATTTGTATTTGAGTCGAGGAAGAAAATAGATAAATGTTCTTGTTTCAATTTTCTGCTTCCCGCTTCATTGGAAAATATACGTGCTCCGTACACAAGTACCTAAATACCCACATCCCAATACTTACGCCTCAAACAGGGCAATGTGTGTGACGGCATGAAAATATATACAGTATGGCAGTGAATAATGTCAAATGTTTGAGACATTCTGCGTGCTTACACGTGAGAAATTAATGAAATAAGTGAAAAGATGGTTAAAAATAAGGAAAAGTATTTATTGATGTCAACCACTTTATTACGAGGAACACAACGTTGAGGAGTATAAACTTACTCCTTCATCAGGTGTTCCTCATAATACAGAAGTTGACATTCATAAATTCTCTTCCTTATGAGTATCACTTTTAAATGCCTTTCAAAGGCTTGGGTGGAATTGAATATATATTTGAGTGTAAAACCTAAAGAGATGATGCCAACTTGACTTTATCGGTATTAATTATAATTACCATTTAAAAGTAATATTTCTTATAAAATTCACTTTAACGAGGCAATGAAACATTAATCTATCATCATTCAACCCTGTACAAATATTAATTATCCACATGAAAGTAACCTTCCTACTTCACATGTATGTACATCATTTGCTTGATCATGGTGTAAGTATCTACACCGAAACGTCGCAGTCATAGAAATATCCCTACAACTATCTCTCATGTTCATCATACCATTAGTTAACCTCTTTGGTTGTAATCATACTACAGTGAACTTTTGTATAAATAAACGCGACAACAGCCTTTCATTATTCACAGGAATTCTCTGTCTAAACTGTCGATAGTACGGTTCCGACTATATGGTAAGCATGTGTTTATGAATCCCTATCAAATAGTGATGATACCAGGTGCTGCGAAAACATGTGCAATCTTCTATGTGAAATACACATGTGCGATCTTCTTTGCTTGGTAGTGTTGGGAACTTGGGGTCTGCAGTAATATAAGCCACGATATTCTTCAATGTGCACTTTAAGGCGTTTGTGAAACCCTATGCGAAATCAGAAGAACATTATGTATGTGGGAGTCAAACTATGCATATTATGCTATCTAAGTTAAACTATTGCACGATATATTTGTTATCCCCGTTCTTCATCCAGATTTCCTTTATTAACATTCACACTGGTTCTTCCTGTCCAAAAACCTTACTTTATGGGCGCCAAATATGGTCGAAGTGCAAAGGTCCGGTCATCACACTTTTAACAAAAAGGACTCGGATTGGCCACAATTTTTTTCATCATGGCTGCAATGACGGCCATATTGAAAATTAGATTCGAAAAAATTCAGATGACATGATTGGTGGGAAAAGGCATGTAAAGCTTGGGATTACTTGGAATGACTTGTTTCTAAACATTCGTCCACACATCCAGTGCCCTTGTCAGTGTTAGTGTTGTTGGTCTTCAATGGTCTTCGTCTTCCCATATGTTATAAATTATGCCATATTTTAGATATTACTGCCTTACGTATCTTGTGGGAACTTTAAAGATATGTTTCCTTCACACATCTTCTTAAGTTGGTTCAACTTTTGACATGACTCCTAAAGCTTTAGACTGGATTTGAATGCTCCATACAAAAAAATAATTCCATACAAAAAGATATGTTACTGGGTCCAGCAAATGTACCACCAAATCCTGGTCTCAAAGATAAACCATAATCCTTAATACAATCAAGGAAAGGCTTCCTGCATTTTCAAATAAAGTATTTGAGACAAGTGGAATTAGTACCAAAACCTCAAAAGATTAGCTTGACTTTCTAAAAAAAGAACCAACTTCAGTTCTGTCACAACATTTGATTTTTCAACATTGTACACCATTATCTCACATGCCAAACTTTAGGAAATAATTATTTCCTTGATCCATGTTTTTTTGGTTACAAAACAAGAAGGTATCTTTAGCTTCAGGTGTACCGATGATCTGATATCATTCAATTTCCTTCAAATAGCTTCCCTTCCACTGATTTACCCACCTGAAGCAAAGGATACAGCTCATATGTTTCATTTTTAGATCTATGCATAAAAGTTCAGAGTGACAATACACTATCCACAGGATGACAAGAGGGATGACTTCAATTTTTCCCATTATGTCAAGCAAAATTCCTGCAGCTCCAGTGTTTGGTGTTTACATTTCACAACTTTTGAGGTACAATCGGGCATGCTCTGTCTACTAGGATTTCAAGGAGCGGCATACGACGCTTGCTCAGAAGTTGTTTGATCAAAGTTACATCATAAAAGACCTCAGTACAACTTTTGAAAAGTTTTGAGGTAGACAAGTTGAGGACATTCGACGCATAGACAACAAAAATGATCTTAAATGTTATTCCCTATCTTCACTTGTACCATATGTTACCGGGTTTTTTTCAGGGACACAATTGACTTGCCTTTGCATGTTTTTATGACTGGTGCCACCGTTTGGGCAGTATAACCTCACCTTCTTGTGATCACCTGGTACAATCACTATTTGATAGTGATTCATGATATCATGATATGGTCGGAATCCTAAATTGATTCTGCAGAGATTTCTTATAGATATGGAAAGGGTTTTATCGCGTTTATAGATACCATTATTTCTTTTAAATGTATAGAAGAACGCCCGCTATACTAAGGTGGCCTGTAAACAATCGAGTCTGGACAGGTCAGTCCAGAGATAGTAGACCAGACACGATAGTGCGTTTACAGATGTTATTGAAACTAAAAGTAATAA